AGGACAGCAGCTCTACCCTCCACAAGAACAGAAGTTTACACGACCACCCATGTACCCACCTCAATATCAAGCGGCACCAAATCAGACCCCCTACCCTGTTCATGCTGTTGCACCTGAGGCACTTCCTTATCCACCAGCCACACAGCAGGTGGCTGTCAGTCAGCCCACACCACCACCACAGGCACCTGCAGGACCAGTTCTTTCCACTGGACATCCATATCCAGCAGAGAGACCAACTCAGCCATACTACCCACCTCAAAGTGCAGCACAGTACCCACCTGATAAGCCATCTTCAATGGCAATTCATTACTATCCAGTTAATAAACCACCAAATGAGCAATCAGTTGTGCAGCAGTATCCAGATCAGAAAGCAGTACATTTGCCATCACCTCCATATCCTGTCGAGAATGTAAGCCAACCTCCTACTCCACAGTACACCCCAGATGGAAAAGAGCAGCAAAAGTTTGTTTATGCACCCCCACCTCCAGACTTCATGCGCAGTCCAGTGTACAGAGTTCCAGTAACTGAAGCACCTCAGATGATCCAGCAAAGTCCACACTCGTCTCAGCCTCCGAGCCAGCACTCAAGAGAAACTCTGAGCCAGCCTCCCAGCCAGCCACCAAAAGGAGCTAAAAGAAGGAAGACTGCAATGCCTCATCGTGAAGTCAGGGACAGTTTGTTGCCATCCGAGAGCTACCCACAGCACAGTTCAAGCCCTGGCACAGACCTCCAGTGTAATGAGAGAATGTCAAAGTCTCCTGGTCACAACCCTGCCTTGAACAAATCCAGCTGTGTGATCACTCCTCCTGGTTCACCCCATGAAGAAGAAGATGGTTCATACACTGTTGTTATGAGAGATTATGGTATCCAGACTGGGCCACCAACTGAACAGGGCACATGGACTGTCAAGGTAGAGTCTGCTGCCCCACGTGTGTACATTACTGAGAAAGAAGCTCTAGCACATTCTTATAGTGAAAGCCTTTCAGAAGAAGAGGATGAATTTGAGGAGGAGGAAGAGGGAGACTACAATGAACTTGACGATGCAGATGAAACCTACAGCCCAACTCAAAAAGAAAACTGCTCTCCAGGTGGTTTGCCAGAGGATGGTGAGAGTGAAAACCACCTATCAAGAAAAGGAAGGAGAAGGCATGCAAAATACACCTGCAAATTCTGCCACAAAGGATTCCAGTGGTACTCTCACTTGACTTCTCATGAGCGCACCCACACTGGTGAAAAACCATTCAAGTGTCCTGAATGTAACAGAGCATTTACACGCGCAGATGGACTGCAATGTCACATGCTCGTACACAACAAAAAGAGGCCCTTTAAGTGTGATTACTGCAATAAAGGATTCAATGACAATACAAGCTTGGAAAAACACACCTACAGTCATACTGGTGTGAAGCCTTTCAAATGTGAATATTGTGGACGGGCCTTCAGTGACTCTCAGTCAATTGAGAAACATTTATTGGTTCATACTGGCACAAAGCCTTATAAATGCCAGTTTTGTGTGCGATCATTTAATGACTCTCAAATGTTGGTCAGGCACATTCGTAGCCACACAGGTGAAAAACCTTTCAAGTGTCAACACTGCCAAATGGCATTCAGCAAACAGAGTGCCCTTGTCATTCACACAAGAGTCCATACTGGAGAAAAGCCATACCAATGCCCTCATTGTTCAAAGTGCTTCTCAATCTCTGGCAACTTGCAGCGTCACATTCTCATCCACACAGGAGAGAGACCTTACCAGTGTTCTAAATGTCCCAAGGCTTTCAACAACCCTAGCCACTTGTCGCGGCATATTAGCAAACTTCATGCGCCACAACCCAAACCCGAGGGAGTTGTGGATAACCGACCAGGCTTCAGTGCCCAAGCAAACAACACAAATAAACCTGTCCTTGCATAAGTTGTTCTATTGATGAACCCTATGGCATTTAAATTTTTGCAAGAATTTGCATATAAATATTTTCTAGAACTGTATTTTGTACTTAACAACATTTAGATGATTTCCTGTGAGTTTTTCAAACTTCTTTCTGCGCTTAAATATCTTGCTATGCAAGACCAAAGTTAGTGCAATCACTAACCAAAAAGGTATAATTTATACCAGGTTTCACCAATATAATTGTGTTGTATTTAGATCAATAGTTGTTTAGTCTTAGACTCAAAAAAGGCCAATGCATCAAAAGTGAACAATTTATAAGGAATCTGTACAATGTAGAAACTACATTTCATGGTCCATTTCTCGAGAAAATTTTTTTATTATTTTCAAACAGGAAGACCATTCAGGTGTAAATATATTCCTTACATGACTAAAAGGGACAATCGTGACACGGGAAAATATTTTTATCAATACCTAAGTTATTAAAGTATTATATTGTTTTATACCAAGAAAAATATTTATTTTGACTAGATTTTCTAGAGGTATGAAACAACTGTTGAGGTTAAGTCACTCAGCCATATTTTTGTAACATGTGACATGTATTTAAGCAAAAGACCAAACATTATCTTTGTAAATAAAGAGTTTGATAGTGAACTTTTGTCGTGAAATTCTGTGTGGTTTAAGCCCTTGAATTAGAATTATCGTATTGCAGCTGGGATATTTTTAGTGCACAGTCAGTATTGGGATAAGTTCTCCCAGATCAAACCAGTTTCACTCCAGTCCTTAAAAATTTGTCCATGGGAAAGGGTTTTTCACAAGTACATTATGACTACATTACATTGTAAGCTGATCTTGTTTTCCTACCTTTCAGAAACTAAATTACATTCCATTTTATTTCATCCTGGCTGATATGTGAAACTAAAAGACAAAAAGAAGACTTAAAGTAGTAAGTCTCTAAATTTGGCCACAGGAAACTTCTAACTATTTTCCCCTCCCTTAAATGTCGATGAAAGGAAATTTATTAATAACTACTGCCCTCCAATAAGTGCCTTATAATTAGTTGAAGGAAGCATATGATAAAGAAGGATAGAAAAAAAAAGGGGGGTGAAGGAAACTTGATCCTGTCTCACACGTGAACTTATGTAAAATTTGTGCCTTATGTAGTTAAAAGGAAAAGCTTGAAATCTCTCATTGTGTGAATGTTTCTGGGAAATCTTGAGGTTTTCATAAAATTTAAGAGAATATTCACCAGTCATATATTTTAGGAGGTAAATCACACCTCATGCTAATTAAAAAAAATTTGCAAATTATGTACACCTTTCTGTAAAATTCATTCATGAAACCTTAATTTTGCACTTCATCACGCCTTGCATGTTAAACCTTTAACCCCCAAGTGTGACTCCCATCTAATTTCTCCCTAGAATAGCCCCCCTGAGCCACACATTAAGGTCATGAGAATAAAGAAAATGATCACCAACTAAAGAAACTCTTAATTGTTGAACAAATTCTCCTTGTCAGCAACTTAGGAAACATGTAGAGAACAGTATGGAGAATATGCATACTGATGTTAGGGTCTAAAGGGTTAAAGGATAATGAGGAAAATAACACGTATGGCACGTACATTGCACAACATCCTTGTTATACGTAACACAAGCCAGACAATTTGATTTCAACATGGCAAAAAACAGCACATTGAAGCTTAACACTACTTTCTATTTAGTGTCATATTTACAAAATATTTTCTGTTTTGTCATCAATGATAAAAGTAAATTCTCCCCTCTAAAAAACCAGAATAGGAAAATTATGTGGCATTTGACTGAGTAAATGCTGTACATCCAAGCAAAAATATAACAATGGCAACATGGAGAATTAATACTGAAAAAACAAGATTGACTGTTATAGCTATCAATTGAAAGTAATTTTCCTTTGAGTGTTAGTGGCATTGCTAAAAATTCCAAAGCCAAGAACATATCTAAAAAGAGAAATTAGCCCTTTCACCACTAAGATCATGTCAATTTATCAGTTTTCCATACACTTCTTGTTTATCATCATCTTTCTGCTTGAAACCGCTATTGATACAATTGGAAGAAATCTATTCTTGGTCAGTCCTAAGAGTGAGAGAGTTACATAAAGTTAAGTGTTAGTCAAGATTTAACATCTGTTTCTTGAAACAGATAAAATAAATTGTCATCATGGACAGGTTCTGTGGAGCCAGCATCTTCAAGAGATAATAATTATCAGTAATTATCAATAAAAGTAAACAATCTGGGCCCAGTTGATTGAAGGCCAATAAGTGTAAACCTAAGGTAACTATTGATCTGGGTTTCTTTATTCCTTTGTGCAAAAGGCTTTAAGGACAATTTTCTCTGTTCTTTTCAGAGCATCCAATCATCACAAACAAAAAGAATTGTGTTTGCTTTTCAGGTTTTCAGATCTGAAATCAGATTTCACACTTATCTTGGGTTATTTTAATTTGGCTTTAAACAATGCAGCCCAGGAATAATATGAAAAACTAAAAAATTCAAAAGTCAAGGGCCAAGCAAAGAAAAAATCCTAAAAGCAAAGTGGCTCAGAGTTGGTCACACTTTGAGTCCAAAGGTACTCAGATGGAGGTCTCAAAGCAAAAGATTGATTAGCTACTGAAAAAGGTTCTTTTTAATAATGTTGATCTTAAATTAAGGCACAGTAATTAAGTTAAGCTAAGTTGATCATTCTTAGATCTTTTTCTAACAGATGAACCAATTAATGAAATAAAGACTCTTTACAGTGGCCAATATACATTATCAACACTACTGATGAAACTAAATAATCCAGAGATGAAATAGTTATCAAATTCCTAAATATAAAATCACTGTCAAACTTTTGCTTTGCACAAAACAGTCACACCAGAGTTAAAACATTCATTTTTATTTGTTTGATCAGGAAGCCTATCGTGCAAAAGAAGGCATATGTTCAAATTAAGGCAGGCAAGATTAATTTTGGTCTAGAGCCAGGTTTTGAGACCACACTTTTCCATATCTTGACCCACCCAGAATTGATGATCGATGAAATCACTTAGGCGCATAGTTGCTGACATAGGAATTAATAATTTATTAATAATTAATATTAATTAATTATTTGTGAGCGCAAGGAGAGAGAGAAGGCAATCAATCATGCAAGTATTTCTAAATGTATAGAACATGAAAAATATTTCTACAATTATCTCATAGCTTAAAGGTTGCAAAACCTGGTACTAAAAGGGGAAAGATTTCTGCAGACCATTGTAAAAACCACAGTATCACAGGGAACCCATTATTTGTAGCATTGTTTTCTTCATACAAGAACTGTATGTATAGTAAAATATGAGGCTGTGCAGAAATCTTGCCCTTGAGAGAAAAAAAATTAAAATTTCTGATCAGCTGGAAATTCACCAGCTACCATGACAACACAGCTTAAGCATTTTATTAATTATTACAGTGTTCACTCTTCAATCGGGGTTGCCCTGAAGACTTCCAAAACAAACGGTCGAATAAAATGTCTCTGCTTTTCCAGTTCGCTACGAAGTTTCTTCAGATCTGAAGGGATATTTTCCACTCTCCCTGATAAAAGCATTCCTTGCTTGGCAGTCATGCTTTCTTGAAATTTTTTAATCTTCACTGGTACCCTTGTTATGATATGAAGACCAAAGTACTTTCCTTTCACACTCCGCCATGATTTCAGAAGTACAATTTTTGCCAAAGGCACTTTTTCGTCGCCTACCATTGTTGACGTCGTAATGTTTAAATCTACGATCTGGCTGAATTTGACGCGAAGCGAAACTCGAGGTGTAAAAAAGGTTAAGGCGTAAGATGATGGAATTTTTGATTTATTCAAGCAAACTTCTTCACAAGCTTGCTGAAGAAATTCCGACGCAGTCGTTTTCAAGCTGTATTGTGTTCCGATGTTTTCGTTCTTGATTTCCAGTGGAGAGCACAAATATATTTGAAAAGTGGGAAGAAGAAGCGCCCAAAGAAACACAGGAAGCAACAGTTTTGAATACAACCTTAGCGGTTTGAAGAGATACCCCGCAATGATTGTAATCCCTATCAGCCCGATCACCGATAGAATCTTCGAATTGTTTCCAAATACTGTACCAGCATTAGAAATAACATCACCACCGACAGCTGCAAGCCAGAATAGAGATGGCAGAACCATTAGGCAGAGAAAAGCAAAGTTCTTGTAGGATGTTTTCGAATCATCGCTCGATCCGCCATCTTTAGATTTGTTAGTCCGTTTTTCTCCCGGATTTCCACCTTTTTTCTCTCCCATTTTTGCCAGGAAGATTCGCAATACTAAGACTCTACTGCCAGTTCAAAAAGGACGGGTGATGAACTTTCTTCCTTTTGAAATTCAAGAAATTTCTTGATATGGACCACACTCAGCTGATGAGTGTTTGTTCCCATGTGAAATTTAACGTGGCAACTGAACGATAATGTTTTCAGTAGGGGAGGTAGAGTAGACTTAAATTTTCATAAATTTCGTATTGTAGTCTTTGATTGTGTCATATTTCATTTATTTAGACAGAGAAATGGATTAAGTTAGGAAGAACTGTTCAAGAAGATAATTACTAGGGATGTAAAAAGTTGCCAGAGGTCATTTATTTGGAAAAGCTGAAGATTACCCTCATAGTACCTTAGCAGACCCTGGAGGAGTTTGTTTTAGTTTAGCAGCGGCTGCCAAGCCAGCTACAAAAAAGGCGGGAATTTTTCAAGTTCGTTTCCAATATGGCGCTTTCGAAAACAGAAAAGACAATTACTGCTTGTAGTAATCTTCAGATTTCTTCCATTTCCCGAGAATGGGCAGAAGATGCTTGGAATTCTGAATTTTGCGAGTCTCAAGGGTTTCCAGAGGTCATGGAAAACTGCATGATTGACCGTGGATACTTTGTACGGGAATTGAAAGAGCTGTTGTTGATTTCAAAGCAGTGGACAACTTCTGTGAGCCAAGACGCTTTAAATGAAGGTGAACTTGCTGTAGAAGCTCTGTATTATTTTGCATCTGAGTTGGTTCATCAGTTTTCAGTGGATTCGAACGCGATCGTTCCCATCGGTGCGCCAGACGCATTCCCCTTTTCAGGCTACTATTAACAACTATTTTTTAGAAATTTAAAAATACTGCTGTTCACTGCCAATGTCCAACTTAACCCTGCCAAATAACTTTTAGTTCTTTTATTTTGTACTCCTCTTTATCTGTTATTTGTGTGATAGACAGGAATAAGTTTTCATGAGCTGTTTCTAAAGAAATCCTGACTTTTTTTTCAGGCTTATGGAAGGTTCTTTCAGACAACAATTTTTCACACAAAGTCTTGATTTCTTTGCTCCACTCATTTATTGAATCCTGTGACAAGGTGAGAGCTATTACTCAATTGTATTAACTCCTAGAAGTGATTAACATGTAACTTCTCCCCATAATATCTGGACATCCACCAAACAGATAATGAGAATACTCAAACTTTTCAGATAGAAGTTGTTATCCTGATCTAAAACCAAATTTTTATATAGCAGTTAGATGAGAGAATGAACAATCATCTTGGGAGTTATATGGTTAAGGAAGTATTTTTGCCTGCTCATTAAGGATTTGATTATGTCTGATGGATGAACAAAACCAAGTGATATTTGATGATTCCATAAACTCCCAAGATCTGTTTTGTACATCAAAGTGCTCTCCCTTTTAGGAGACCCCACTGAAAAAAAGATTTAGAGGGGAGCAGGGCATCTCAACAGAAATTGACAAGGGTTGTGACTTGAAATGGTTCTGCCAGTGTGAGATTTATACATACAAGTGTTACCCAGTTTTCAAACCTTACATCCACTACAAAAAGCCTTCATTTGAAATTTAATTCAAGATAAAGAGTATTAGGTGTTTGTTTCAGACGGAAGGAAATATTAGTTTGTTCACTACGTGGTACCAGAGAACACTTAAAGAAAACATTCAATGCAGCAAACAGTAAGCTGTTTGTAAACATTTATTTCACACAATTTTTTGCGCAAACGCAGATTTGTCCTTAGACATTATTTGTTCCTTGAAGTTCACAGTTTTCCTTGAGCTTGGCTCTTGGAAAATTGTCTGCATCTTGGAACAGATAGTGTCAACAGATGAATTTCTTTGCATATTTTTGCACCAAATGGAGGCTATTGTTTATTTAGACATAACAAGTTGATTTTTGTACTTTGTGTAGACATCAAAGGCTGGACCTAAACTGGAAAGCTGTGTGTTAGCAGCTAACATTTATGTTGTTTTGGTTCAAATACCAGGTGAGGAAAATGTTAATTATTAGAAATGAAATGGGTACCCTTAATTATAATACCTTCTTATGAATTAGACACCTCACCAAGCTGCTTTCTCTTGACTTATAGTCTTGAATTGTCAAAGATTGTGAATTGGGGAGGTGGGGGAAGGGAGGGTTGAGAGGTTGCAGAGGGCTTGCCTATTATCTCAGTGGCATAGGTTTTGATGGTCTTCATTATTTCATTTCATTAAATTTTTATGATGAGCTTGAAAGAATGGCATTATTTTTCTCCAGGGAGTGGAGCATACAAAGTTTTCCATCCTTTATTATTCCAGAAAGCTTTGGATGTGTTGCGTCTTTGGCCTCACAGAGGTAGGGAACTGTTTTGTCAAATGATAGAATGAGAAAGACAGTCAGTTTTGAGTTTTATCATTAAATGAAGAAAGTTGTTACTAAATGTTTCTTTGTAATGAACATGGCAACTGAAAAAAATATCCAAATGAATGAGGGGGTGAAGTTTCTAAAGAAACTGTGGTGGTGTGTCCATGGGAGAGTATAACAGGGTAATTAAGTATTTTCAAATGCCACTGCCACTGTACAGACTTTCAAAGCTGACATGTGCATCAGCCCTTTGTCAGATCGAAACCAGCCGTTTGCTCTGATGAAGGGCTAATGCTTGAAATGTCACCTTTGAAACTCTTTATGGCAGCCAATTTACCCTATCAACCAGTTGATAATTCTAAATTACCATTAAAAAAATCACTTTTCAGCCATAAGAAATTGAACTTCAGACCTTTGAGTTTCATGTGCCAGTGCTCTGCTGCTGTGCTTAGAGAACTTGATAATAAGTTTGGCAAATATATGAATATAAATTTATGTATGAGATCAGACAAGTGTCTTGCATGCTACTAGAAGATCAGCTAAGTTGAGAGCTTGTGTGAATGAATGGAACAAAGAAGATAGTAAATCATAGATTTTTGTCAAGTAAAGAACAAAAATGTCACTCAATTACTGTTTTAAAGGTGCATTGATGGTTTTCATGTATCAGTGCTTCATTTGTTCAATACTTCATGAGTGTTATAGGGTCTTGCAACTATCACACATGAATATGTTGAAGTATCTTCATCTCCCTGTGAAGATTTGGTTATAGCATTCAAAAGTGGAGAGAAAGATCTGTGTGAAAAATCAGGTTGAAACTGATTAATCAGGAATTATATGAAAACAAATTTTACTGACCATAAATTCTGTAGCTATCCTTCTCCTTGGTGATTTTGCATCTTTTTGGTACCATGAACAGAGACAAACAAGAGGAAGAGACAAGAAGGGGCATTAACAACAGGTCGTAGAACAAAAGCAAGACATGGAAGAGAAGGTAGAGATAAGCAATGGGCTATATGCTTTAACCATATAGTTTTATTGTCTAGGTAAGAGTAGTCTTGAAAAGGACTGTTGTCAGTGGTAGTGACTGATGTTTCGACAACCATGGCAGAAGTTGTCTTCATTGTTGTCCCCTAAGGATGACATCAGGCTTGATTCTGATGAAGACTTTAGCGAAGGTGGTCGAAATGTCATCACTGCTACTGACAACAGTCCTTCTCAGGACTTGACTGGGATGATCAAACTACAGAATCTAGTGTCATTTTTGCAAGCGAGTGCTCTGTATTCTCTTTGTGATTTTACAGCAGTGGATGGCTGGGAAGGGAAATAAGTTTGTACCAAGGGGGGTGAGTGACATTCATAAGGAAGGAGAGGGGTAGGGTGGGGTGGGACTATAGAAATAGAGTGTTCTCTAAATCTAAATCAAACATGGCTGGTTGAAAAAATGATGGTGAACTTGTAAGGTTAGGCTACCATGAGCCTCCAGGAATCTATCCTAACTAATTGTCATGATCCCCTTAAAAGCCAACTGGAAGTGCAATTTTCATTTCAGAAGGTGATGGTGATTGCATGGAAGTAGATGCTGCCTCTGATGATGATGACGACGACGATGGCAGTGGCAACGAGGATAATGAAATGAGTGGGCAGATTAACACTGAACAAGCCAAGGCTAATGTTAAATTCAAACTGTTATCATTAATGCAGGTATGTGCAAGTTTATGGTAGATCTCTATCATAAAAAATTAATTAAAGTGTCTGAACATTGTCATCTGACTGAGTGAAACCAAAATATTAGGTGAAAAATTAAATAATTTGTTATACTTATTTTAACAGCATTGGTTATAATTATTGGAATGTTTTTTAAGTTCCCACCCCTGAGTCTTTAACTGGTAGCAAAATTCTTGTATTCTTTTTTGTTGTTCCTTTTTGTGCTGTAGGATGCAGTTGTACTATTGAACAGCTACTCCCTTAAAGATTCTGAGCAGGTTGCCCATCATGTAATTCAGTTGTTTGTGGAAACTACACGTCAGGACGTTGAAACAATTGAACAAGTTGTATTTGACTTTCCAGGGTTAGTTCCACTTCTTTTAATCCAAAGTTCAGAACATGTACTACTTAGAAATAAAATAAAGTGTTTCCTTGATCTCAATACGGTTTGATTGCACCTGTTTGATTGCAGGGACCAAATTTATTCCATTAAGTCTATTGCTTCATTGGCCTACTTTGTAAGTATATTTTTGTCTTTTTGTATCAGTTACATGATAACAATCATAATTTTCAATTTTTTCATTCATAACCAATTTAATCATAACCATTAAAATGTCCTCAAATGTGATTGGTGCATCTGCTGCTTCATTTTGTACTTACACTCTTTAAAGTTGTGATCAGACAGTGTAATCAGACAGTTAGCTGTAATCAGACAGTTGAAGCAGCCAGTCATAAGTCCATTCAGCTAAATCCATCTTGCAATCTTAGAAAAAGTGCATGCTTGAGTTTTTCATGTATGAGCTCCAAAAAACAAGTTTAAAAGCATGAAAAAACACTCCAGAGGGGGATATAAAATTTTTCTCAATACTTTTCAAATTTTTCTCATTTGCCTTTCACATTTACACATTACTTTCCAAGTAATTTTTTTCTCATCTAGGATCAAAGTGGCCAACCCTGAGCCCATCTTGCCCCCCCCCTTTCCATGTAGCCAATCAGAACACAGTATTTGCTTTATATTGCCCCCTGGGCACTGCTAGCAATATAATAATTTGCTAAAAATGGGTGAGCTCATGATTTGTGAGTGCATGGTGGTCATTTACATCTTGTTCTTCGAAAAATGCTTTTGGACTGAGATGATAACCCTCTTCAGCAGACAAATATTTTAAGTTCAACTATATGATTTCTTTGCCTTTTTTTAAGGGTCTGAGGGTCATTTGCTCACCTCTTCATGGCGATGTTGGAACAATCACTCACACTGTAGGTCCACAGCTTTTGCTATTAACAGTTTCAATGCACAGATCTACATGTATAAATCAATTTCTAATTATATCTTGGAAAAATAGCAGAAAAAGAAGCAAAACTCATTAAAAACTTTGCAAATCAAACATTTATTTTCAATGATTATTTTCTGACTATTGTAGGTTTTTGAACACTTAATCTCAAATGTTCTTATGGTGTTTGGTGGAGCAATTGCCAGTAATGGAACCATATCGAGAAATGTCCAGAACATCAAGGACCAAGCTGTTGCATTTATCTGGTAAATGTCAAATATATGTTCACTACATGTTACAGCTTGTTTGCATTAGAGAAGGAATATAAACAAGAATGGAAATCATCTGAATTAAACTTGCCGGCCTCACTTGGAGGGAAGGGGAGAATGCTCATGGAAAACTAGGGTTGGATATATTAATGTCTGTCAGCAGGGCTTTATAGTTTACTGTATGTAGCAAAGTAGATGCAAAAAACTGCAAAGTATGGTTAAACCTTGATTATATAGACTTGTATGGACAGAGCTGAATCGCCCAGAATCATCCACTTTTTTTGCTTCACTCCTGATCAGCCAGTGGAAAATATTCACAGATAACAATCACACTTTTTGATTTTAGCGTTCAATTTGATTCATATGCTTCTTCTGTGCTCTGATATTCAGCTATCTAGCAAAGAAAGAGACCAAAGAGGTGCTGTGTTCTGTAGAAGTTCTTGTTCAAAATATCTTTACCAGTTGCCCTGAACGAGCAGAGTACAGAATTACCGTGGCAAAGGTAATTAGACCAGTTACAACTTAATCAGTCTGACCTGGATTTTTGAATATATTTTATCATCATTTGATGAATTTTTTCATACCTTTTTATTAGTGGAGAACCCATTATTTGACCAACAAAAATAATTTGCCCTGCACCATGCAGAAAGAAAATTATTGATGAATTTCTTTCTTTGTCCAACTTTTCTAGTACCACCCAGAAAACTGCAAGAGTTGATCTATAATTTTTTTTCTTTTCTTACATACTGTTATCAATGGAATTTGTCTTGCAGGCAGTAGTTGATATCATGAAAATTTTACCAGTTAATCAGTATGCCAGTCTTGTAGAATGGATTAACATGTACTCCAAAAATGACAAGGTATTGGTCAGAGATTTGTATGCAACTGATTAGCTGACATGTTGCCAATTATGGAAAAGGTTATTGAAACTCCTGGATATTGACATGAAGATAATGATGATAACGATAATAATGATGATGATGATGATGATCTCAATGATAATGACAATAATGATGATACTGATGATAACAATGATGATGATAAAAATGAAGATAATAATTAAAAGATTAGTTGAACTTGAGAGAAGATGAGCATATTCACTGAGAGGCAGGGAGAAATACTTAAAGGTTGAACCAACAACTTTCAAATACAGCAATATACAACCTTTTGAGGGTAAGTTAGTTTTATCAACTGGGTTGACAATGTAAATTGGCCAGTGTAAAGAGTTTCAAAGCTGACATTTCAAGCATTAGCCCTTTCATTCGCTCTGACGAAGGGGTAACACTCAAAGTGTTGGCTTTGAAACTCTTTACTGTGGCCAATTTATGCTATCAACTCAGTTGATTATACTAAATTACCCTGTTAAACTCTCCCACTGACACAACCTCACAGTTTCTTTGGATACTATCTCAAGTATACAACCTTTTGGCCTCGCTGCCTCTGTAGTGAGGTGTACAGTTCTTTAAGAAATTGGGCCCCACAGATTGTGAGTAATTCAACAAGGATTTTCTTTTACAGATAAGTTACAGGATATTTGCTTTGGATGTGTTTTCACTTCTCCTAGTTGAACCAGAGAGGATTCTATCAGATGGTAAGGGAACATTCTGAATCCTCTACAAAATTATTCAACAAGGAAAAATCAAAGATAATGAGATATGTGAAGTATAAGTAGCCAAAATTGCTAAGACATAATTTTTTTTAACCAGAAAATTTACAAGATGATGACAAGAAAAAACTTCTCAGCAAGAAATATCTGTTGGACATCATCATAGCCAGGTGTTCTGACAGGGCACCAATGTGAGTGTAAATCAAGATACTTTAAATCCTTGAAAAAGTGCCAGTCCCCTCTATTAAGTACCTCCACCAAATAAGCTGCAGCTTTAAGAAAAAAACTAACTACTCATCTAGTTAGTGTGGTTGGTTAGTTTGGTTTGATCTTTGCATTTGCCTGGTCAAGGATATTTGAAGTCCTTTGTTCAGTCAACAATAATGCACTCTTTCAATTCCACCATTTACTTCACAGTGTTTGGTGGGCCTGTCAACAAATTGAGATCAGATTGATCTTCCATCTGTCAGTTGGTCAAACATTGTAACAGTTAACCCTTTCACTTCTAAGATCTCAATTGTAATTCTTCTTACTACCCACCATATGATTACTATGATGTTATGTTGGAGAATTTGGTATTGGATCAACTAATAATCCCCTAATTGTTATCTTTTTTAACTCTCATCCCTTGTTTGTTTGATCTTGTATTAATATTGTAAGGAGAAATTCTTTTTGGTCACTCTTGGGATTGAAGGGTTAAGGTGTGGTTACTAGGAAGGGGATGCTGAGCAGTGACAGGCTATCAGCAGTCTATTAGGACTATATCATACTCCTGGGTGGTAAGTTTAGGCCCTTAGAGCAAAGAGTCTTTCCTAAGAACTAAACACAATGAGCTGGCTAGGGCTTCAACCTGACTCTCTCAATCATTGTTCATCTAGGAAAGATGGCATTGTCTCCCACATAATACCAAACAAATTACACTTTCACTTGTATAGCACCAAGAAACCACAACACTTTTCCTTAGGGTTTAAAGTCAAATATTCTATCACAAGATTTTTTAAATTGATAAACTGCTACTTGTTGACAAATTTTGATGCATTCCTAAGTACGATTCATTGTTTTATTCAGGGTGCGTGCCAAAGCTCTGCAGTACTTTGCTCAGTGTGCAACATTAGAAAACAGTGCATTAGTGTTGAGAGTAAAAGAAGCACTTCATGAACCACTGGAGAGTCCAGCAGAGGGGACACCAACATTAAACAGACAAGCAAATAGTGAGTCACTGAAAAATTCTGCTGTAGAGTCTTACATTAACGTTATGTTAATTGTTTAAATTGTTTTTTTTCAGGTAAGCAAGCAGAGACCAGGAACATTGGTGTGATTATAAGAAAAAGAACACGTGATGAGAAAGTTGGAGTTCGCAAGGCTGCTCTGCAGGTTTGACTTGTCGTTATTTTGTCCAAAAAGTTACATACCAATTCTTAATAATTTGGGAAATATTCCATTTACACCTAACAGCAGTAATGCTGTCAAAGAAAAATGCCAAAAGGGGAAAAAGCCAAAATTGAGAAATTTTCAAAATTGAATTTTTGATTGTAATTTTATTTTTTTAACTTATTGAAGTGCTTGACATTTATAAACAACATCTGTTTGAAAGAATTTTTTGTGGAAATTTGGTGAAAATTGTTTAGCTGCTGTGTGGCTGCCCTTGGTAAGTTTCTTCTACCACAAATCATGATGTATTATGTCTGTTTATCAATTTCTTTATCATTTTGAAGGCTCTAGAAAGTGTAATCACCCTTAATCTGGATTCCTTGGAGAGAGTGGTAAGAAATGATGTTATTGCTTCTTACTAACGGAATATCCAACGATGACCATCCCTACACAACATCCACTTCTTAATTGTTGTGCCATTATGTTCCATTTAGAGTTATGTGAAAAGCTTAATTTTAAAGATGCATTTTTATAATTAAGCATAATTGGTTCATCCTCATGATCTAGTGCAGGACAGACTAGTAGATGATATCCTTACCACATTTTGATGTCATCTTTGATCTATTACTGAACAGACCCTGTGGTAACATGGAATCTATTTGTTAATCTCCTTTGGCAGGGGGAAATGGGTGACAGCTCCCTTTGAACTGTGACAACTATTAACAACTTTCGGATTCCTTACTAGCTTGGTTATATTGAAATTTACCACCCTGGCTATAATCACCCAGCGTGAGGTGATTATAGCAAGATATGGTGCAATCCTTGACCAATCAGAGTGTGTGCATCTCTATAATCACCTAAGAAATTGTACTAAAGCAAGATAGTATGTCATCACCTCAGTAATTGTCTAATTTGTGAGTTTTTGATTTCAGGATGTGTTGACTCTCCATGATTGCTGTATGGATCCAGCACTTTCTGTCAGAAGACAAGCTATGGTATCACTAACCTCCCTCTTACAAGAGAGGCCCAAGTGTACAATGGTACACAGGTATTAACTCTATGTACATGCAATAAGTGATGTTCTAAAAAACCTGGAGCTGGTGTACAACTACTTTTACTTAACTTCTTGATAGTGTTAGACCAGTCTGGCCTGCATGGCAAGTTTCCACTGAAGGTCTGTCCCCAACAGCTATAGGAGGAGGCAAATGAACCCTTCAACTGGCAATACTTGATTCCTAATTTTTTTTCTTCCAGCTGCCTTTATTACTTTTTCTTTAGAATGAGTTTGGAAAATTTAGCGTAATGTCAAAATTGCACTCTGTAACTCTGTGGATAAGTTTGTTTATTCTTGTCTCCTATATGCTGTTGATTTTTCAATATGCAAGGAGATCTTACATGTTAATTGCTTCTGGAGGTGAAGGGTTATTATGGAGGACACTTCTTTTATGGTAATAGGGTGACACTGCAAAAGCGGGTAGCTTCATCTCTTAAAATTAAAGCTTTGGGAAGTCTTAGTGACAGATAGTAGATGGATTTGATATTTGGATCTTTGAGGTGAGGGAGTTAACTGCATATATCTGGAATTAATTGTATCAATAAAACACTTGTATAAGTTCCTTTAAAAACTCAAACTGTACACTTATTGTATTTTCTTACATGTAGTTTGTGGCTGGAAGGAGTGTTGCCACTTGTTATGGACAGAGAAACTACTGCACAAGAAAAGTGTTTTCAAATACTGGAGGAAGTGCTTCTTCACAATATTGTTCCCCTCTCAAAGTAGGTGGCTGTTACAACTTAATCAGTTTGTAGATTACAGTGTTAGTTGTGATCAACAGCATCCCAGATTGGATAAGAGTCAAAATTTTATGACTTCAGTGAGCAGTGCCTTACGAGGATTTTTTCTGCCAAAAGTTCAAGAAATGCAATCAAATATCCACAAAGTTTTGTTATGTGGTAAAAGGCATGCTGAAGCTGTTGTGTGGTTGGTTCATGAACTGGTTACATCTTTTGCCATACTTTTTGCCACATAAGCTATCAGTAGCAACAAAGAATATCAGAAGGGGGAAAGTTCTTCTGGTGAAACAACAAGTTAAAGGTTCATACCCTCATGGTATTGAACTTTTGTTCATTTTGGGAACTTCGTTGTCAATAGGTTGAAAACCCCAGCTTGGTAATTGAGCTAAAATTTCTTGTGAGGAATGCCATTGGCCAATCTCAATGGTGAGACTTGTGAAACTCATGGTTAAACTGGCTCTAAATGCTTGCCAGGTAATAAGATTGATACAATGACACATTTTGTTGATTATTATTCCAGATCAACAGGACCATATCACATTCTTGCTTGGGACCTGCTTGATATTGTTGCCAGCCCATCAGGACAAGAAGTCAGGCAAGTGATATGATGAAATGATATCAGTATGTGACCTGACCCTGTAAAGCATGCCTATACCTTGGGAAATATTTCCACATATTATCTATTGCTGCCTTTGTGAAATTTTTCACTGTTCTTTTTGGTTCCTGGATTAAAATTTGACAAACCAGTTTTATTTTGTTATTTTCCTTTGTCCCTAATTATGATAAAAACAATGTGAAAAATGTAAACAAAAATGAAACTGCTTTGAAAAGACATCTATTAATACTGACCATTGGCTGCTGAATATTATTCTTTCAGACGTTATCTTCACAGTGCATTTCAACACTGGTCAAAACAGACTAAACTTTTGGGAAACCTGGTCAAATCACTTATATCTCACATTGATACTGAGCATAGTAAGGTATGAAGTTCATAAGGACATGGCACACCAGAAATGTTTGTTAGGGTGGCATAGTTTGTTGTTCTCCTTGAAATTCTTCTTGTTGTACACATTTTCAGGCAGCATGGCTTTGCTTGGCAGCAATTGGTTCATCATCAAACAAACTTGACCATACCTTTGTTGTGAAAAGTTGGGATGAGTATTCGAAAGGAGTAAAAGGTACAAGTTAAACTGTCATTTAACTTCATTTTGATTTTGAAATAGTGTGCAACAGTTAACTATGTATTAGAATCCTGCCATACAACAATAATGTCTGTATGACTAACATTGCACTAAGTTTAGATAGCAATAAAGAATTTCTTTAACCTGCCTTTACACCTGAACATCAGTATACATATCCTCCATACTCCTCTCTATTAATTTCCTTTGGTACTGAGAGGGAGAATTTGCTTAACAATCAAAGCTTCTCAGGTTGCTGATCATCTCCTTTTTTCACATGATCTTAATGAATGATGCAGCAGTATTGCTATAGGGAGAAATTAGATACTGGTCACTCAAAGGGTTTAAAGGTTTATATCTACCCATTTGACCATGATTGCATAAATTCTGAATGTAAGGTTTATACTACATTCTATAACTCTCAAAGGCTTAAACATTTATATAGCAATCCCCAACTCTCACTCCATCCTGTTGATCTGACCATCTGATTAACTATCACAACCATTTTTCCACAATTGAATCAAGAGAGAGACAATCTCAGTAGTAGACATCTTTATCATCTTTCTCTCCTTTCTGGTTTTATTTGTCAGATTATGACATAGAGACATTATGCAGAATCCTGGCAGTGTTGGGAAGCTCTGCTTCCTTTCTTCCCTCCACAGTCACTAGTACCCTAACAGGTATCTTCTATTTCTGGAAAATAACATAAACTGTATTTTCTGTTGCCAAGCTGTGACCATACTAGTGTCAGAGATACAAAGAGGAGGAAGGTTATTCTAATTAAATATGCTGTGTCGTGAACCACCTTGACAAAATGGGGTAGCTTCTTTCACATATTCTTTTTGTATCCTATGGGATTGGGGAGAGGGGTGTATGGTGTTGGGATTACTGAGTAAAGGGCTTGGATATGAGGTGTGTGGCACAGAGAGGGTACAAATCGAGCTTAAAGGGTAGGGAGTTGGAAGAGGGGATAGCAAACATCAATGTTTAGAATTATACTGCTGTCTACCACACCGTACACCATTGACAAAACCTGCCTCCCCCATTCATTGTTGCCTGTATGTGGCTAACAGTTCATGGAATCACAATATTGCATTGTTTTTTTTGGGGGGAGGGAGGGGGAGGGGGCAAATAGGTTAACTTAACAAGGGAAAAAGAGATAAAACTGTAGTAATAGGGAGTTGAAAAGGTCATTGTGTCAACAATTTTGTTGCCGATTGTGGGTTTAGGAGGTTGGATATAGCAGTAGGAGCTTGAGATAAGAGACAGGGGCACTAACTCAGGGAAATGGGAAAGACACAGCAGTGCAAACTTAAGGAAATTTTTTGTCTTTCTCGCCATGGACAAGAATTGCGGAAGTTTGTAACACTTTGAGGTTGGTGGGGATTGCTCAGACACTGATGCTTTAGACAACTTTATGTTGTCTCAATTCTTTACTTTCATATAAATTTATGGTTGTTTGTTTTTTTATAGCTGATCTGCAGCGGAAGCTTATCACATTTGAGTGCCCACCTGAAGTCATTGATGCTATTGTAGCCACCCTATGCAAGGTGTGATGCATGTACATGCAGATGTTACATGCCAACTCTCATCTCCTGTTTTAGGCCTATTTCAAATGCTCAAATTTCAATTTGTTTTCGATTATTATCAAATGAGTGACAACCAGTTGCAACATTAAGACCCTGGAATAGCTGAGCACCTCTGTGATTGTGAAATTCCCTGGCCTCACCCATCAGGGCTATTAGTGTTTAAAAAAAAAACTCTTCCTCTAAAACTGTGTCAAGAAATTTTCAAAGTGAAGAAGATGTTAGCATTTTGTTAATGCTGCCAAGGGAATTTTTTTCTGGATGAATGCCTTTGAGTTGCAGTTTCTGTAATCTTTTTTGTGATTTTTTTTTTCAAAAAAACAGTTTTTATTTTAGCATCACTATTGATGTATGTGAAGGTTGATGTTTCCTCTAAGCCCATAATGGCATGCTTAGAGAAATCTTAATCCTTGTTTAATGTTTTGCAGCTCAATAAAGGAAAACTGCCAGAGGAAAGAGTGAGCCATAGTCTTTTGTAAAGTTATGGAATGATATTTCAAAAAAGTATCTTCTTAAAAAGAGTTTTGAAGTTTTAACTTTCATTAGTTCTTTTCACTTTTGACAAGTCTTTCATTTTGTAAAGTTTTCATGTGCTTACTTAATTGAACTCTACCCAATGGGACTTTTCAGGGCCAATAAAAATGAATGAATAAGAAAAAGAATTCATTTTTTAAAAATCCTAAACAGCAGGAGGCAGACCAGTTGGCTATATACAAAGCATTGCCAGGAAATCGGCTATTTTACAGTTGTGTGCTTAGTTGCCAAGCCTTTGATTTGTAGTGAAGTTGAAGATGACCTTGTTATGATAAAGACCAGTATCTAGTTAGCCTGATAACAAAGTAATTCTTATTTGAAAAGCAGCAAGGGTTGTATCATAACAAGGTCATCCTTAGCCTCACTCCTGTTCAAAGGCTTGGTGACCAAGCATGCAGTTGTCATGGACTATACCAGATTACAAGCCAAGTACCATAGCCTCTCGGCCATACTGCTACCTCCTTTGATGCCTGGAGGTAACCATTCCCCTCCAACAGCAAAATAAAAAAGGGCTGCTAAATCCTAAAATTCCACATTTTTTTGCTTTCAGAACTTTCTAGTGTAAATGTAACTTTTGTTAGATGGCCTGATTTTTCATTAGGAAACTGAAACTCTAGTTTTTGATGCACCAGTTACAGCAGATTGCCTGAATTATTTGTAAATTATTGTTTTCAAAGGGAAAGAGTGATCATTGGTGTTCTGATCTGCTGAAAGCATCAGAGGAATTTCTTTCCAGTGTAACATTAAAACAGGATTGTATTGATGAGGAGTGTCTTATGCGGCATTTGTTTACTGTTGGAGCTGTAGCCCAGGTTTGTAACAGAGATTATATGATCATGATACTTCAGATTGCTGACATTATCTTTGGTATTAGTAATCTTCTCCAAGTTTAAGTTGAGATTTTCTCAAAATTCTCCTTGCTTTTTGTTGTGTATTCATTAAGTGGAGACACTCTTTAATTGCTTTCTAGATTCTGTCTTTATTCATCGATCAACTTTCTAATAAGCTGGTACAGTCATGTTACTTGATTAAAGTACTTTTAGATCATTCAGGGATTCCACAGTGATATTACTAACATTGATACAAGTACTTTTATTATGTTCTCTTTAAATTCGTAAGGCCCAAAATCATCCACTGCTACCATGTCATTTAAAATGCAAATCTTGTTTGAGTTTCTCATGAGCTCCTAGTGAAATTTTTGAAGCAATATGATGTTACACCAAATCGACCGATTGTAACGTGTTGATCTAGAGGGCAAGTTGCCTTCAATCTTTTACTGTAGATGGAACTTTGCACAAAAATTATGCAAATTATTAGATTGATGTGACAATGGCTTCAACAAGGTTTTTTTTGTAAAAATTGCTCACAGCTAACACCGACCAAGACAACAGAACGACTGTTTATGTTTGTGGAATCCATGCTGATTTCTCATGGCAATAATCAAGGTTTGTATTGAATAATCATCCTCTCTATTTAGAAACAAAGAAAAGGGCTTGGAAACAGGTTCAGATGTTACCTAATCAATGTGAATTGTAAATGTGAAAATTTTATTTGGGTTAGCTTTTTCCCTTTTAACACCTAAACATCAATTATCTGCTTTGTTTGCCCTACATTTCATCAGTATTACCTCTGAAGATCTTTTTTTTTTATTTTCTTATTACTCTAATCAACTAAATTTTTTAATGGCAGCCATTGTATGATTGAGGGATGTCATAAGGTGATGTTTTGAAAAATGAGCTTGTAGCCCTGGCTATATGAATCATGTATACTTAAAGCATATGCATCAGTCATATAGTGGTTGATACTATTGGTTGACATGTAGATCAAATGTGGGTCAATATATGAGGCAATACTGGACTGACATATCAACTGTTTATTAGTGGACATGTTAACCAACATCAGCCGCATCTTGACTGACATGCACGTCAGACAAGACTCTATCAGCACATGACCAATTCTTTACAGACACTCAGCTGACACTTAGCTGATACTTAATCCACACTAGGCTAACACTTTTGTCACTCGGTGGGCTATTGTTACCGAGCTCTATCTTCTTTACTAGCCCCTCAAAACTCTTCTTTTGTGTCCCCTCTGCATAATGGAAAGGAGATAAGAGACAGCTGCCATTCCAGCAAAACAACAGTTAACAATACACACATACCACCAACAGTCCATCATGCAATACATTGCTGCATGCTTGACTGATATGCTGCCAACTGTTGATCACAGTGTAACAGTCAAGCTTTGGCCAAGTGTTGACCATCATGCCAACCCAGTATCAACCACTTGTAGCAAGGGAGGGTCTAACTAGTTGAATAACATGATGACCAACTGTCAGCCAACTACTAGTCAACATCTCAACTAAGCATTGACCAATTCTTGGTCAACATGTGGACTGATAGTATCAGTAGATACTCCACCAACAGGTGCCTTAACTACATATGATCCAGCTGTATTACTGTTCATCTTAGGACACAGACATCATACTTCAAATTTAAACCTGGTTCACATTGTGGAGAGTTGAGGTTGGAAAATGTCAGGAATGGTCACTGAAATTCACTGGCAAAAGATGTCTTTTTTTTTTTTTAACTAAGATAGCTACTTACTGGCCTCCCTCCCCTCCCCTCCCCTGTTAGAAAACACACCTGGCCATTAGACAGGGCTTAAAATTATGAAGGGGCTCTAATGATGTAATGAAAAATTTTCTATACCCCCCACTTTCTCTCAAATTTAATGTTGATAACTTTTGCTTCCTCAGATCCTCTGCAGAAACTAAATCTATCACCTCCTGTAAAGGCTCATGTATTTGTGACTCTGGGTAAGTTCCATCTTAAGCCATCTATTAAATGTGTATCACAATTTAGAAAGATCACGGACCAGTTTTTACTACTGCTACTGGGTAAGTAGGGTTGTTGGAAAAGTCCTTTGTACTCTAGCTGTTCAAGATTACAGCTTTTGCTGAGCTGGCCCAGGTAAAAATATAAGGTGGGATCCCGCCAATCCCACCTGGGATCCCAGGTGTGTCCCAGGTGGGATCCCGCCTTTTTCAGGTGGGATCCCAGGTGGGATTATGGAACATCCCGCATGGGATCCCACCTGGGATTATGGAACATCCCGCATGGGATCCCACCTGGGATTATGGAACATCCTGCATGGGATCCCACCTGGGATTATGGAACATCCCGCATGGGATCCCACCTGGGATTATGGAACATCCCGCATGGGATCCCACCTGGGATTATGGAACATCCCACATGGGATCCCACCTGGGATTATGGAACATCCCACATGGGATCCCACCTGGGATTATGGAACATCCCACATGGGATCCCTTCTGGGATTATGGAACATCCCGCATGGGATCCCACCTGGGATTATGGAACATGCCACTTGGGATCCAACATGGGATCCTGCCAATTGAAGTTGGGATCCCACCTTAAATTCCTAATAGCATCCCACCTGGGAAAGCACATCCCAGGCAGGATTAAACCTAGAATCCCACCAATCCCTCTTGGGATCCTGCCTCAAATTTCAGATAGTTTCCCACCTGGGAAATCATATCCCAGGCGGGATTGTATCTGGGATCCTGCCAATCCCAGTTTAAACCCTGCATAAAATTACAGATGGCTTCCCACTTTCAGAAAAATCCTTTGAGGGATCCTGTTTATCACTGGAGACCACAGATTTATGAAATGTACCAGATAGGATATCTTATCAATTCCTTTTGTAACCTAATCCGTAAAATTAAGAGGATAAAATTTTCTAGGTGAGCAATAGACCCCATCAATCCACTGAGGGTCCAAAACTTTCCAACTAGCTATAGAACATACTGACACCTCCAATGGGATCCCATTGTCTTACCAAGCTGTTGATCATAAATGATTCAAACAGTACATGAATACACAGACCATATGTGATAAAGATCTCATAATTTATTTGCAATGAACCAGCATGTGTTTGACTTGTTTCATTAACAAATTTCTTAACCAAACATTTTTAAAGAATAACAGCACAACTCAGCATATTACTTTTTCTTCATCATTTAAGCAGACCATCTACTGTGTAATAAGGCTCAACGTTTAAAAAATTGGCTGTTGTGTATCAAAGAATAGAAGAACGACAAAACCTCAATAATTCATGTTATCAAAATTTTGACAGGTACTGATTGGTACAGGTACTGATTGAAAGTCTGCTCTCTCTTCAGTCGAATTTTCAAAGCAAAGCAAGGTCAGAATGTTCCTAAATGTGACTAAAGTAATCTTGAAATTTCACTCATAGATTTATTTCATTGTAAAGTGTAAGCTTAGGAAACTGCAGCATGCAAGTGACCAATTCGATTCTCAGAATTATTTGAGTTTCAGTTGCGCTGAGCGTTATGTAAGCTTAATTCAAGCCGTTATTTCTATTCTTTGATAAGATTTTGATCACGTAACGAATATGGCAATTTGTACTCACCACAAACTTCTAAAAATCCTAGCCTTAAATGGCCACTCGATCGTTGTTTGAACCAGTCGATATGTAAACTGTTAATTGTCCCTTCTTTTAATTCCACGGCGCCAACAACTTTCTTTTCATTTAAAACACTCACGCTGTTCTTGTTTTCCCAATTAACCACAATAAAACCCATCTTTAGAAGTGTTATATTAAGCAAATCAGTTGAGAAAAGAAACAACTTGAAGCAAGAGCGGTTAACCGATGAAAAGCACATTCAAAGATGAGCGCCAAATGGAGTTTTCTTTGTTTCCGATCACGGGCATGATCACGTGTACCTTTTACCAAAAAGAATCCGCTGGCTTGACCCATTGCAGTCTCAAGAGAAGCGCGCAACATTATTCTGTCTCTTCTGACCGGTTCTCCTCTCTTGGATGGTGGATACCTTGGATTCATGTTTTGATGATGACATAAATAATGATGTGAATTCACTCTATGTAGAAATAGTCGACAAGAATCGAAAAAGAATGCACGATTTGTGGCCGAAAGTTTTCGAGGAAAGAAAGACTCGAAACCCACTTGTTCACGGCGAAGGTGAGAAACAACCGGCAAGCCAATCACATTAGGAAGTATAAGAGATACCTAGATGATCCCAGTGCACCAGTACCCAAATCAACAAGGCTTGACCACAACAAGCGTTCAGCAACACGTTCCAACACAGCTAGCCATCTCGATTCCTCAGTCGGTCTTTCCACTGAACTAGCAGTGGTGCCAACAGAGTCAAGTGCATCTCATAACGGAGAAAACATTTGCACGAGAGACAGAAGCAACTACATGCGATTACAGAGGTGCATTGGAATTCTCGTCTGCAAATGGTTATGCACAGTCCGAAGCGTTCCCGAGCTTGGAAAGGGGTGGAGAGGACGAAGATACAAGGTTGTCATTTTATACTACAAGTAAAATTTTATACCAGACCTACAAGGTATAGAATAATTTTGTTGATCGCTGACTCAGAGAAGAATAACAAGTAAACTTTAGAGCTGTTATTATTGAACTGTGACTTGTACTTTTCATTTGTATGTAAAGAAGGAATTGTATTTTGCACCAAAAATATAAAGAAGTAATATTTTTTAGGAGGTCCAGTGATTGGGACATTTAAGAAATTAAGTTATGAAAAGAAACTCGGTTTGTACTTCTCACTAATAACAAGTCTTGTTTTAAAAATATTTTCAGATCAGAGTTTCAAATAAAGCAAATCGAAGAAGTCATTTAAAAGGTGTATTTTCTCGAAGGGAACAGTGACCACCTCTGTCTTGTCCGCATGCCAAATATTTGCGGAGTGTGTGGATGATCCATAAGTATTGGAACTCTCACAAAAATGTTTTGTAAGAATAAAAACAGCAAAACAATATTTTCGTGGGTGGGATAAAGAATCCCAGGTGGGATATGTAAATCCCGACCAGGATCCCGGGTAGAATGAATAAGTCCCACCTAAGATCCCGGGTGGGATGCAGGAATCCCGCATTAAATACGGGATCCCAGGTGGGATCAAATTTTCATCCCAGGTGGGAAAGGTGGGATCCCACCACCTAAGGCGGGATCCCGCCATTCCCACCTGGGATCCTGGGTGGGATTGCCGGGATCCCGCCTATATCCCGCCTGACATTTTACCTGGGGGGGCTTTCTGCATGGGATGTAAGGACATACTTTATTTTTATGTCTCCATTAAAACCAGTGAATCATAACAAAGCTATTTTTGTCTTTGTCAGGAAAATTGTGTCTTCAGAATGAAGATTTGGCCAAACAGTGCATTGCTACTCTTGCAAGGGAGTTAGAAACTTCTGATGACCCAGCCATTAGGAATAATGTTACAGTGGTGATGTGTGACTTGTGTGTGAGGTACATTAACATTGTTGTAGTATTATTGGTGTGATAGAATATCTTTTGACACTTACATTTATTACTAAGGAACCCTTTCCTTCCCTACTTCCAACAAATTATTAGAAGCTGTTTTCACTTGTAATCTACTGTCAGTAAATGCAGGGTTCTCATCTCAGAGGCCACAGCAGAACCATTTTCATCATCCAAATTTTGAAAGTTGTACTTCTTTTTCAGATTTACCAGCCTTGTTGATCGGTATGTTCCAAATATAGCTGTATGTCTGAAAGACAGCTCATCACTTGTGAGGAGACAGACACTGACTGTGTTAACCCACTTACTTCAGGTAAAACACATTTTCTACTAGTGTTTTGTTTTATTGTGAATGATTAATGGAGACTTCTACCAAAATAAAATTTTACTGTGAAAAACATTAAAATATTTCATGCAACATGTGTACATACCATGGTTTCAATGTCTTTTTCCATCTTATAATGAAAGAGGCTGTTGCACTTAAATGCAATATTTGATATACAGCAGTTAACATGCTTTTGCTGTCAAATGGTGTTTGATGATAAAAGAATGATAATTATCATATTCTCTTGTATATCCAAAACTATGCATGGATTTTCATTATAGGAGGACTTTGTCAAATGGAAAGGTGCCTTGTTTTACCGCTTCATCACAACAATTGTTGACGAAGACCAGGAGATAAGGAAATTTGGTTTGTTTACTTTTATTGATTTTCTGTGAATTAAGATTTAGTCATATCTGAGCTGTGCAATGGTAAGGCACCATGGATGCCACATGTCAGGGAATGGTCGGGAATGGTAAGGGGAGAAAGACATTCCCTCAAGGTCAGGGAAAATAATAATTTATTTGCCTTTGAAAGAAGTCATAAAATGTCAAGTAAATTGGACCTCATTCCAATCATCTTTTCTTGGCATCGATCTTCATGATGAAAGTTGTTATCAATAATATTTCAGTCTTGCAATCTCAAGTTGGTTTGAGAGTGAAGTTGTACTTTTTCTTTTTCCTTCTTTTCATTGTTTTCTAATATTTATTTAATGTTGAAGATGTGGGAAGTGTTTAGTGCATTTCGCACACTTGGTTTTTTTTTTTCGGATTGGTAGAATATTATTACATTACATCAAGGGACTATCCCTCCATCAATTCATTTACACTGTATGTGACCTGCTGATAGCACATTGAATAAATGGATGGAAAGAATGGCCTATTAAAGAGGCTCTTGATTGTTAAACAAGTTCTCCTTGTCAGCCCCTTAGGAAGAATACAGAGAACAGTATGGAGAATATGCATACTGATAGTAGGGTGTAAAGGAGAAGCACCAGTGATTATTTGCTGATTACTGCCCCTCTTTTCTTTGCAGCTGAATTTTGCCTTGTGCACCTACTTTTGAGCAGACATCCAGGCATGCTTTTCCAGCATTTTGTGGAGTGTGTGTTCCACTTTAACTCCTTTGAAAAACACCAAGGTACATCATAGATAGAATGCATTAAGAATGTTAAACAACGTAGGTTTGTTTGCTGGCAGCTGGTCAGAAAAGCAAGAGTGCGCTCCCTGCCCCCTCCCTCCCCTCCTTCTCCCTGAAGTCTGTCATAATCAAAGACCAGACTTGAGAAAATAGCTGAAATCCAGCTTAGAACAACCTTGCATCATACTTTTTTACTCTGACTAGTTTCTCTAATTTTTGGGAGTGCAACCTCCAAATGAATTTAAAAAACATCTTTGCTTTACTGATTTTCGCAATTTTTTTTGCAAAGTAATGTTTGTTAAAGAGTTCAGCTTTCTTAGCAGTTTTTGTTTTTCAGCATCACTTGTTAGGAAAACCTCATATTACACAGTGGCTTCTGTGAATAAGCCATCATTTAAAGAAAGATCTTGATTTTTTTAATGGGTTTCTCAAGAGAATGGGGAGGCATTTTGCAAATTATTTGAACCAACAGTAATCAGTTTCTTTGGAATCTTTTAAACACCTTCAGTATATAACAAGTTCCCACAGACAGACATGGAGAAGAAACTGTTTTCTCTTAAAGGATATCAAAATTCAGGGTGGGTTAAACAATTTTTGTGATTTTTTTATCCTTACACTAATTTTCAAGACCTATTGACATGCACAGTCTTGAAATTTGGATAGTATTTAAAATGGATTTTTCTGATACATTAATTATTACTTAATTCCTAGATCAGATCTTAAATCTTGAATAAAGGTAGCCAAAGTTAAAATTGTTAAATTACTCTGCATAATCAATTAAATTACCTTGTAAAATTATTGAATGAATCAGAAAATTTGTTAATTTTTGAACAGTCTCTCAACAACTAAATTAGATATTCTGCTCACTGAGGCCAAGTGGCCTGAGTTATGAAATTGAATCAGGACTTCAGAATCTGAAAAGTAAGAAGTTCAACATGAATTTGGAAAAAGTCTTGAAAGTATTTGAATTTGCACACAAAATCTGATAGAGCAGGACTGTGAGGATAAAACTTTAAATAATGGTATTTTCAAGGGTGTTTATTAGCCAATGAAGATTGTAGAATCTTTTGGCCACCATGCAATAAGAATTCTCCAGCTTAATATTGATGGCATGGGCTCTTTTTTATTCCAATGTGGAGCATAATCCTCTGTTACTACTGCTACATTTCTTGATAAAGACTCCCATCTTTTCAGGAAACGCTATACAATTTATCAATTTATGCTGTCCCACATGAGTGATGAAGGCCGATTCAACCTCACTGGAAAGCTTTGTCAAGAGGTGTGACATATTCCTGTCATGAGATAGTCAGCTTTTACTTTCAATTTTTCTTTCCATGAATCTCTCCTCTCATATTTTATCAGCCCAGACATGGTTTTGTGTGCTTTTTTTCCTCTGATAGGTACTGGGTGGTTTTACTGATGGTGACATTACCTTGGATCCAGATTCAGCTTCTGTCCTCAAAGATGCTCTTTTAATTTTGAGCAGCAAGGTAACAGTTACTTCTCACCAGCTTAACATCCTTCCCCAGCTGTGTCTTGCTATTTGTAGTCTCTAAGACTTTGTGGAAGCTGGGTAGAAATTTTGTAGGGGTTGCAGTTTACTCAAAAGTCACCTTGTAATACTGTGTCTTGATTGCAGAACATTAAACTGTCCTCAATGAAAGCTAAAGCAGCTGAAGATCTTGCTGATGAGGGGGATGTGGCAGGAGCTGCTATAGTTGAAGCCAGGAACAAATTTCTCACCCAGGTGACTGTCCATGCACATATTACTTTTGATAATTTATTCTGAGAGGTTTCCTTGGTAAATATAACACATAATTGTAATTCTCACATTGATTTTGCTTTGTTTCCCTTCAGGTTCTAAAGAAGAACATGATTGAGAATATTATACCCATCATCATTGAGCTTAAACACATGGTGAGTTCCTCATGAAGATCTCTACTTCTTTAACCCTTTAACTAGTGATATCATAGCATTATGAGTTTAAATTTCTTGTGCAAACCCAATCAATTTCATAATCATGCAGTGCTACATTTCTTGTTTTTGTAAGTGGTTAATTGGCATTAAGTAAGAGGAAGTAGCTGGGTTCTTGCCTTGAAACTTTAAGGGAAGAAAAACAGTCTTTAATGTTATTTTCTCTCTTAATCCAGTTCTTTTGATGCAACTTAACTGGAAAATCATATAGTGATGGCTGGCAGTTTAAACAAGAGATAATTCCTAAGAAAATCAGAATAATGTGAATTTTGATCTTTTGCTCTGACGAAGGGCTGAAGCTCAAATGTCAGCCTTGAAACTGTCTTAACAGTGGCCAATTTAAATTGTCAATTTAGCTAAGAAAACCAAATAATCTTGTTAATCTGCAATGTGTTGACATTTGAACTCAAAGTGCCAACACTGATTACAAGAGATAAACATGAAATAAATTGACTTGAAAGATTATTCTTAGTTTTATTTCAGTGTCTCCTCTTTAGGCGACCATTTGATACAGCTTAAATTAAAGTGGTTATGGGAAAAAGGACTTTGATACCACCTTTTACCAGTTAATACAGGGTGACTGCCTAATTTGGGTTTGACTGTTCTTATCATATAATGTTTTGTTGTTTTATGAAAGCTTGAAAAGCAGCATTCCCCTTTGCTCAAGGACCTGATGTCCTGTTTAAAAGAAGTGATGAAGGATTACAGATCTGAGGTACAGGAAGTGCTGTCAGCTGACAAACAGCTTGCCAATGAAATTGAGTTTGATCTCAAAAGGTTTGAGGAACAGCAGAAAGAACGTGAGGAACAAAGACGAAAGCAAATCACTCCAAACAATTCTCCTCAGGTATGAATGTTTACACACTCAGGAAATGATAGGGCTTTTTTGGGTGAAGTTCTAGTCTCCACAGTCATGAGATACAAAATGAATGAAGGGTTTTGTTGAATGTGGAATTACTTAAACCAAACAAGTTGAAATTCATCTGTTTTCATTTTTTAAGTTTCTGTACTAACAATTCCACTGTTCAAGTTTTTTGTTTCAGTCATTTTATATTCTGTTCTTCTCATCTTTTCAAGTGCAGGGTTTTTTTTTTGTTAGTTGCTACTTAATAACTATTCACAGAAGTAGAGGTGGCTAGTGTTGGATATTTACTGAGCTGCAAAACAGCAAGATAAATATCCATCACTAGCCCCCTAACACTTAGGTTAGTAGTTGTTTTAGTACATACTAGGACTGTGAGATGATATAGTACAAGAAGATGATTTTAACTCATTTATTCCTGCAATAATTACATTCAGATTGCAAATCTGATGCTCATTGCTCAGAGGTGAATAGCAAAGGATATTCGGAGCTTGAGAAGCCAATATGAGTGGGCCCACAACACTTACACTTACCGCCTGGTTAGCTCAACCGCCGCCTGGTTAGCTCAGTTGATAGGGTGCCAGTCTGCTGTGTGGGAGGTCAAGGGTTCGAGCCCCAGACCGGACCAACACTCAGGGTCTTGAAATAACTGAGGAGAATGTGCTGCCTTTGTAATTACATCTGCAAATGGTTAGACATTCTAGTCTTCTCGGATAAGGATGAAAAACCGTAGGCCCTGTCTCCTGCATCTTCAGTGTTACATGGTAAGCAGGGGATGTTAAAGAACCCACATGCTTGTCGAAAAGAGTAGAGGACGTAGTTCCTGGTGTGGTGGTCTATCTCTCCATGTAAGGGTCGGACAGGTGGGTGGGTGAGATAGTCGCCCTATATAAGCTGATGTCCGATCTCACCCAATAGGGAAAGAAAATTGTGAAATTGGTCCTGAAAAGCCCCAAGGGGAGTGTCCAATTACAAATTACAAATTACTTTATCCACTGTTTTAGTACATACCATTCTCCATCTCAGTGAGTAGTTGTTAATTATTTATTTTTGCCATGATGAATATAAGGTCAGCACAAGACAGCCTGGTTCAGATGGAAACACTCCTCAAGCAGCAGACTTCGTTGCTCCTCAGCTGCGAAGTGCAACACCCTCACCTAAAAATGGTAAAAGCTTGTATAAAAATCAGAAACTACTTTCTGCCAAAAATATGGTGTAGTTGTTCTAAACATCACAGACTACATTTGGATACTGTTGTCAGCTGTCAGTTTTAATTATGATAATCATTGTTTTTATACAAGAATTATCAAGATGGAGGTTTGTCATATCTCTGGAGGCTGAAGTGAATGATACAGTCTTAACATAGGCTCAATAATTCTTCTTAATTACTGTGCATAAAGGGATTGCAGTAATCATTTACTGGTACTATTGCCGTACTGCAAGCGTGAATTAGCTAAGTGCTGGTTGCAAAACAGAACTGAGATAGCAAACCAATATGGAATGAACCATTAAATTAATCATGTGATTGTGGATTTTACCACAGGATCCAACAGGCCTAACATCACACCTCTTACTGGTGCTATAAACCAGCTGCAGATCAATCGACGACACACCCTGGCTTCTAACCCCAGTCTGATAAACAATGCTCTCAAATCCAACCTTACTGTTCAGATCAGTCCGCTGCAAGCAAAGCGCCGATATACCCTCTCCACTGCAGCTATTTTAAATTCTGCTCGCAAAGCTGTGGATCAAGCTCATAAGGTTGCAGAACAACAAAAAAGGAGGAGTATCAGCTCAATGGGTAGTCCTCATGAGAATAGTGCTGTTACAGATGCACCAGAGCAGCGCACACCTCTTAAGCCCACTAATTCCAGGGCCTTTTACAGGGAGAATGAAGAGCGTGCAGCCAGCACTCCAGAAGGTGAGTGGTTGGTATTTTGGCAAAGATTTTGAACTAGGCACTTGACAAATGAATTCCTGTATTTGTTCACCTATAAGCCAATCATAGCTTTAAGCCAAGACACCAAACTTGAGAGACCGGACGATGAGTGTAAGCTTGTTAAATATTCTGAAAAATTTTTGCATATATAAGCCAAGACCCAAGTTTCTCAGAAGGAGTTCACCTTTTAATTGGAATTAATCTTTTGAAAGCATCTTTCTTTGGAAATTTGTACAATTCAATTCCTTAATGAAGATCTGAGTGAAACTCATTCTTTGGATATACTTCTCCTAACTGAGTTAAAGGTCCAAAAAAATAGCTTGGTTTACAGGCAAATAAATATCAATGGTATTTGGTTATAGTCGTACATGATACATTTGACCAGAACTGGAATTTGTTTGTTTATCTTGGTGAATTTATTTTTTGATCTTTTTATTCCATTTATTGTAGGCGAACAAAGTCATTTATCAAGGATTTCATTTTGTGTGAACACAAGTGCGACTGCACCACCACCATCTCCCATACCAACATCATTACCAATCCGAGTTTATGCACAAGGCAAAGGTTGGTCTAGCATGCTGACTGTATTAGTAAGAATAGTTTTCTTCAGAACTTTTTTCAATCCTCCTACTGTAAAGACTTGAAAGCAAATTTTCATAATTGATGACCACACATTTCTTTGTTTGTTGGTAGAGAGTATTTAGTGTTACATTCATCCAAGTGATATTATCTGGTTGATGATTGTCTAAATTTTCATTTCCTGTCAGCATGAGGGTGTATCAATTTTGTGAGGAGAATTTGAATGGTGTTCACCTTTGGATTTAATTGTTTAAGTAGTCTTTCTAGAGCAAAGTTAATTCAAACATCTAAGAACTAACAAATAGCTTTGCAAAAATTGATAGTGGGAAATCAGATGACAAAGTCGGTGACAAGTTACATTCTCTCTCTCTCTCTTTTCCTTGTTTAACCTTTTAACTCCAAAGATCTGATTGCTAATTCTCCCCTCTAGCTGCTACACATTTCCTTGTAAATTAGTTACCAGAATGTGGTGTTTCTTGTAGATCAAGTTAGCAACTTGTTAACCCAATTCTCATTACCTGTTTGCTGGATAATGTATGGATATTATAGGGAGAAGTTACATGTTATTCACTTACAAAGAGATGCCTGAATGTTATATATTAAGTCACAGAAACTGTTAGCTTGTAAGATTGTGATATAGTTGGAACAGATTAGTCTTTGCTTTAGAAGTAGATTGCTACTAGAGGGCAGCACTCGTCAGAGGCCATAAAAGACCAGAAACATGCAGTCTAGAATTATAGACTGAAATGATGCATGAAAGTTAGCACATAAAGTTTCAAGAAACTGGGATGAAATATAAGAATTTGTCAAAGAAATGTAGTAGAAAGAGCTTAGTGTAAATTAACAGGAGAATACATTGTAATAGACAAAGAATTTTGATGTGCTGGTTGCTTCATTTTATCCTGTTTATTTCAGTTGCCCCACCCAGCTGGATAGAAGGCAAGGTTGATGAAGGTAATGATGGAGATGAAGAAGAAAAGGAACAGCAGATTATCTGTTTGATGTCACCTGAGCAAAAGTAAGATGAAAGAGAAATAAGTCGGTAATAATTATAATACATTAGTATGATGTTAAAATGACGTGGAATATGTATATTACTTACTCTGGTTACCCAGCAATAGCGCACCAGCGATTTGTCAGAATACCTTGGGTGTGGGCTAAGTGTTGAATAACCTTACTAGTATCCTATGCCTGTAGATTCCTGTAATACTTGACTACTTCCTTTTGTCAAAACTTGTTTGAATAAGCTCTGGAAGTCATTGCTGTCAACTTTAAAATATTTATTTCCATTACAAAACTGTAGTTAGAACCACAAAATTCACATACTAAATGCTGCCTATGGTACAGTGCTAACCCAACATACCTCGATGTTTACTGTATACTTTTTCATGATTCACACAATTATTTTAAACTGAATTTTACAGGCCTCCAAAACCAAGGACATGGAATATCAAATCCCCAGTAAGTTTAATTGACTGCCAGTATTTACTGCATGATCTCAAGGAAAATGCTTTGATAACCAGTTATTAAGTAATGAAATAGACATGTATATTAAACACTAGAGAATTTTCTCTGAAAAAAAAATTTGTTGCTAGAACCAGTGGCAACATTCAAACTAGTTTAAATTTTGTTACAAAACTCCTCGGCACCAAACAATATGACTTGTCACTAGTTCATGACTTGTTCCAGGACTTGAAACCAGTGTGTTGAGGCTTTAAGCACTCTACTCCCATGGGTGACCAAGACAGAATTTCTCATCACAATATCAATGTAATATCAAACAGACAAGTGATGAGATTTAAGAAGAATATCAATGAGGGAATTATTAGTTGATCTAATACCAAATTCTCTGATCTAACATCATAAGACTTGTAGGGCAGACAGTAAAGAGAATCACTTATGAGATCTTGGGAGTCAAAGCTAGGGAAGAAACCTTTTATTTAAATTGATGTAAATAACTCTGTAGGTATCTTTAGTGGCTTTGTACATATTCTCATTTTATTGTTACCTTTACTTTACCTAAAAGCCTTGCCTTGCTGCTACCTTTGTTTCACAGGATACCAAAAAGCTGGCTTCTAACAACAAGGCAGTTAGGGAACCACAAAATGATTCAGTCTCCAGAAGAACAAGATCGCGAAGACGAAAGTGAGAATTTGGTGAACTTTCCTGTAAATCAATGCCTTCATTTTTATGTTCATAATTCAAATTAGTGCTCAGAAATCAATTGTTATTGCTTAAAAATAACTCAGTGAAGTGACATCTAAGTCAAACTCAAAGTCAAAGTATATTGTAAATTGAAGTAAAATTTCTCAATCTAACAGTTTATGCAAATTTTTCAAATCTGTAATGTCAGCCTGGGTAGTTTCCATTCTCAATTCTTCTGGTTGATCAGTTACTCTACTCTCAGCACTTTTGCTGGATAATGTTGTTATGATAAGAACTCAATTAAAAGGACATGATTCATGGGCACACTACAGAAGGAGAACTCTTGCATGATAGCTCTCTTGTGCATGTTTTTCTTAGTTTCTTGGCAAGTGCCTGCCATACAGGCTATTTTAGAATTGTAAAAATAATATTTTCTGAATTTGTAGATTTAGTATTGTAGCACATGCAGTAATAAAAAAAATTCTTTGAAATGGTTGGTTCTGATGATTATTTATTATAAAGGCAAGGTTTTCATCAAGGATTGAAGCTGGAGAAATGTTTTAATTAAGAACAGTGTATTCTCCATGTCCCTATAAAATGTATTTTGGGGTATCAATATGAAGCCAGAGAAGTGTACTAGCTGGGAATTTTCTTATCTTGGATACTTGACATACTGTAAGGGAAACCCTTTGACTTATATAACCCTTTGACCCCAAAGAGTGACTGGCATCTACCATTCAGACATAAAAACATTAAGGTCATAAAAAATAACAGAAATGGTCACCATGCATATAAAGAAGCTCTCATTGTTAAACAAATTCTACTTGTCAGCATCTTGGGAAATGTATAGAAACAGTATGGAGAATATGCATACTGGTGTTAGGGTGGAAAGAGTTAATAACAAACAGCTATGGGGTAATAAATCCTTGCTGTGGAAGTTACAGAAAAGTTAAGGAGTCATTAATCTTCATTTAAGTATTTTCCATCAGACAAGCAACCCTCACTACAAAGCAACTAGGAGATTTGTCAACCCTCACAGATGGTTTCCTATTGGCCAAGCCCTGGCTGTCCCCTCTCCAACTTCTGCATTTTGTTGAGTTGACCTGACAGATTGCAGATTGTCATTCAAAAATTCACGCTGGAGAGAGTTACTGAGTGTGAGAGTAAGGTGTGTTTCCCATGACCTGTGCAAAGGGATCCCAGCCAACTGAGTTCAGAAAGGACTTAAACATGTGGAAAAATAACAATATGCAACAAGGAAATGTTCATAAGCATTGTATTTTATTGTGATTCCCTTGATGAGTTGTGAGACAAAGTTTCTGTATTCATTTTTCCAGTACCCTGTCCTGTAACTCTGACAACTTGATTCATTCTGAGTGTTCAAAAACTTTGCTCTTATGTTCGCAGTGATGTCACAGAATTCCACAACATGAAGATCTGTATCCCTTTCTAGCCACATTTCTCCCACAATTTAGTCCTCACCAATATCTTTTCCTTCCTAAGAGAAGCAGTGATCCTATGACAGCCAGGTTCCTTGCAGCATGTTGGATTTGAACCCAAAATGCAACATGACTTGAACTTCTGCGCCAGTACTTTGTGTTAAAATCCACTAAAGCTGACACAACTACCAAGTGCCATACAACAATGCGTGCAAAATAACCTGCTTCATACCCTGCATAGATACTAAGTGCAGGAATAACATACAATGCAATAACCATGACAATCATAAACTGACCACCAGGAATATTCTTAATGTGTGCTAGACGATCTTCTTCACTGGCCCACACCATATAAGCATTGCAGAAGAGATAAAATGCAAGGATTTGTCGAGAAACTTTTAGAGCTTGAAACACCTTGGCCTGGCCTCGCTGACTGTCTGTGAGGCCTGCAGCAACAAATAGGTAACCTCCACATACTGCAGCAGATCTGGCTGCCATTCTGACCTATTTAAAGAAACAAATAATTGTTAGATTCAATTTAGCCTGATTTAGGATGACTGTGGAAACATGAAAACAAATACAATCACAATAGCCAATTGGAACAAAGGAAAACATCATGAGATACCATTGCAAACTACAGGTTAATCCTTTCACTCCCAAGACCTCTTTGTAACTCTCCTTACTGTCTGTCATACAATTCTTGTGATTTTGGTTCTGAGAATTTGGTATAAGATCAACAAATAATCCCCTGATTTATGTTATTCTTAAGTTCATTCTCACCATTTGTTTGCGTGATAGTGTATTGATACTGTAAGAAGAAATTCTGTCTTGGTTGCTCAAGGCGGTTTAAGGGTTAATGCATGAAAACCTCGAAACAAAAAATTCTCTGTGAATAGTCCTTAATGCCTACTGATTTCATGAAGCTTTCACATGTTTTTAATCTAATACTTCAGTAATGGATACTCTGTGCTAGATCAGATTTTTTGCACAACCACACTAGCTAAGGATAATATAAACATGCTTTTAGGAGAAAACCTCCCGAGCCCCTTCATTCTTTGACTTCAGGGCGAGTTAATTAAATATGTAAACATATGTTGATCTTCAGCCCACGAATTTACATAAGGGTGTTGGGTACATATCAGATAACTTTCCTTGATTTCAAAGAGGGCTTTTCATCAAGTAAAAAACATATAATCAGAAGCTTTCATGGTAACAAGAAAAAAAATCGAAGGTCACCGGAAAGGTAACCGTATCAGACAAATAAAGAACAAAATTACTGACTTACGATCAAATATTCTGAAGATTTTTTGAGTTGATATAGAGTTACCCCCGTGTATACTACTACATGCAAAGCAGCAGCCAGGCCACATTTCCTTCTCTTCAAGTCCAGAGTCATGCCTGTTCCACAAACGAAGAAAATTAAAGCGTTGATGTACACAAGTAGATATTCCCGCCGTAAAGTGTCTCTGAAGGTCAACGTGCGCGCCCCTGGCAAATTTTCGGCCTCCTCTCCGGTGGACATCAAAAGGACAAACAGCTCTATGAATGGAAAGCGAGTGATAAGAAAGAGGCCTAGAGCGTCTAGTACGCGAAGAACTCTGTCTAACACGGCCATAATGCAGTTGATTAAAGGCAGAAATATTACTAGAAGAGAACTTCAAAGACCTCAAAGTGTCCTTCAGAGTTAGTTCATTCTAGTCAAAAGTGGAGCCCACGATTTATCAGCGTACTGTTGTCTCTTTCACTAAGAGGGGAGGCCGCGGGAAGTGAAAGAAATAGCTAAGTTATCGCTTTTAAGGGCTTTGTTTTGTATTTTTAACTTTCCACCGTCTTAAATAATTATGATTTAAGAAATATTTTCGGAAAATTTATAACAATTTTGGGGCGATTTGCAATTTACTTAAAAATAGATATGATTCCACAACAATTGAAAACTGAGAACCCTCCCCCAAGTAATTTGTTGTTATTCTACCTTGGAGACGATGCCAGCGATTGCCAGGTGCTTGTGCCAAGTTGTTTGGATTGAGATGTGATCAGTGCAAGGTCGCCAATTTACCTCTCGGCTTCCAGTTATCTTTACAAGAAGAACCCTAGAAGACGAAAGAAATATTTTTCTAAAATAGTGGAGGTTAGTTTATAAATATGTTTTTGCTCTGTTGGCGAGAAACGAATTACGATGCTATTTTGTAAAGTGCAAAATTCTAGGTCATTCGCGAGATGTGTTGCTTGTTGAGGTGTGATGTTCCTTTGATTTTATACAGTTCTTTTAAGAGTGCATTTAGTTGAATATTTGATCGTATAGGGTCGTCGTTCGCGGGTATTAACGTGAAGTTGCTCGTTTTTTGACCTAAAACGTTTGTGTAACTTCGCGTGCATTCAAGCACGTCTCAAGTTTATGTTTAAGATTTTTGTACGTTGGGATTTTGCTCTGATTAATTTTTTTTTGATAGTAAAGTGTTTCCCCAAAAAATCTAAAACATACTTTAATTTCCAAAGGAGTCAAGCCAGCTCCTATCAGTGAGTGTTTGGAGTTTAACACCAAACCCTGTTCAAGTGAGTCGCCGTTATGTTGTAGTTGTGGTTAGCTCAAAATTGATTTTTTCCTATTTTAGAGATCATAATATTAGGTAATTAACACCTTTCCCTATCAGCTTATTGTTATTGTTATTTTTGCTGTTGTTCGATTGTATGCATTATCATTTGCAATGGTCGCAGTACCTTGTATTAGTTTAAATTGTCGTAGTGAGCATTGGATCCTCGTATACGCACTACGCTATTGCGAACTGTCCCATCTTTGGCTTTTAAAAAAGCAAGCCTTAGATTTTTAAGAAGATATCGAACGATTCAACTATATGCATTCATTTTAAATAGTATTAGCAACACCAACATTACAATCACCTTTAATTAAACTGCGAAATTAGTTTTGTTCAAGGCATTGCAGCCCATATTAACTGTATGTTTTTTTCACAATACTGAGCTGTCATACGTCATCCTATTTTATTTGAAAATTAATTTCGAACTTTTATTGCATTCTTAAGTGGATAAAAAAACGTGATTAACAATTGGTAAAATAATCACCATTTTTTATTACATGCAGCAGATATCTTGCACATTCAGATGTCTGAAATGACAAATGTAACATCCAATTTTAAAAGATTGTTAATAAAAATATATCAGCTACTGCAGTTTTACTCTAAAATGGTAGAAATTGTCTGTAATTTTCTGTGGTGAAGTTTGCACATCTTTGCTTTTAGATCAATTGTTGTGTTGGGAGGCAAAGTGTTAATGAAGCCTCACTGTTTGCAGCTAATTTAATTTGCAAACTGTCTGTTTTTATCACTGGTTCTTGATTTTGTTCATGACATCTTTGACTTGTTTTAATTGATTCTTTTTTCAAGTTTTTAATGAGGACATATGTGATAATTAGCCAAAAAAATGCAGAAAGGCTTTTTTGCTTGTAAATGAAATCTATAATTTCACTTTGCTATCCAATCAGGTTTTAGCATTGCATTAGATGAAAGATTCAATCACCTTTTCTGTGTCACAGAACGATCTGGTCTGGAATTCTTGTATAAGATCAAAAAAAAAAAAAAAAAGAATCTAAGGAAGAATCAAACATATATTTTTCCAGGCATGTTATTTGAACTTTATAACCAATTCAGTGAAAACTTTTAAAACTTTCTTCAATTAGTAGAAATGAAACATGTCTGTTATTTCATGTTCATGATAATTGTTTGAAATTTTATGTAGAAAGTCAGGGGTTTCCACAAGAACTAGTAACTGGCAAAATTTGCAGTCTCTGTAAAGCAAAATAGCTGTCTATTTTCTCTGCAATTAACAAACTTATGGTAAAAAACAAACCACTTGTGGCCTATATATTTCACAGTTTTTGCCATCCACTTCAAAACTTATTGAAACCTCTGGAAAATTACACATTGGACTACTTACATAACAAATCTAAAAGTAGCTTATATGATCTGTGTAGGACATTTAAAATTGGTTGTAATGACAGGTTGCTAGATTTTTAATTAGCATGGAACACAAAGAACTAATTGTTTACAATTTGATTTTGAATTAATGACAGATAAAATGAGGTGGTTGCATCCCATGGGTGGTCATATGTTGGGTTTCCAATGTATCAGAAAACAATTTCACCCTTTCAATCCCAAGATCTGAATGCCATTTCTCCACACCATGTGCTTTAAGTTTTTTGTGATGGTTGCTTAGATAATTAAGTGCTGAATCAAACAATATCCCAAAGCTGATATTTTTCTTTCTTCTCCACATTATTCTGCTCAAAAGGTAACAATATTGAAAGGAAAAATCCTTTTTGGTTACTCCTGGGTAAAAAAAAAATATTGTTATTGCTAAATATGGAAAGTTTTTAATAATTAAGAACCATGTTTGTTTTTTTTCCATAGAAGTAGTCAGAATATTCTAGTTTTGTATTCCTTGAGAAGTATTTTTAGAGGTTTAACTGAAAGATTCTAAATTTCCCTAAAACAATAAACAATATGCCCACAAATGAACTGACAATCCTATTTTTTTTTCCCCTGGTAAAACTTCATAATCTTGAAATAACAATTTAATTTAAGTGAATGGATTCTGAAATTGGTTTTGAAGAAAAAAATCAGGTTGCAGAAATTTATTGGTATGATCAAAATGAAGTAATTAAGATTTTTGTATATTATTAAATTGGTGTGTTTGAATAAAAACATTATATATGTATAATTGATTATGCTGAATTGTCTTCATTTTGCCCTTATCTTTCACAATGACAGAAACACAGGATCTGCAGTTATCAGTAAATATGTCTGTTCCTCCTCGTCCTGATCCACCCATTGTTGGTAAGGTGACTCATAACAGCATAGAGCTGTACTGGAGAGCTCCTGAAGTTGTTGATCAAGGCAAGGGAGACAGCCGGTTGAGATATTGTATTCAAGAAGAGGAACTGGGCCCAAGGTCCAGAGGATTTGGCAATGTCTATTCAGGTTACAGTAAAATGTAAGTATATCATGGTTTATCTCATCTAAGGTCATAGGCAATCCTCAATGTTCTCGTTTTCATGCAGTACCTGTTATTTCCGTCTAAAATTCCTCAGAATTCTTGAAAATGTGACATAAAAGGAATGCTCTACTAGTTTGAAAATTTATCTGACCTGTTGTGTTTAAAATAAGGGCCAAGAGCACTGGATTCTCATGGAAATATTATCAGTGGTGTTTCCGTAAAATGTCAACTGAAAGTCCTTTGTCAGAGACATGGGAACATACTTAGAGACAATCTGAGTTTTTCATTACAACTTGTATCCTTTCTCTGTGATCATTGTTTTCATGGTCTACTACCAAACTGTAGAGAATTTGTGGGAAAAGTAAAGTTAGTGTTTTTTTTCAAGTTCATCAGGAGGGGGTCATTAGTACCAACCCATCTAATTAAAATTTAAGTCTGTTATGATTGACACAGCTTTGCACAATTTTCTTCTGAATCACCTGGTAATTTTCTTTGAGTCACGCCCATGCAAAAACCTCTCCATTGCTTTAACTTTTTATTCCAAATAAACACCTTTATTGGCTAAAGTGAGACCATGCTCCTATCAAAATGAGTGTTGTATATTTTCAGAGCTTTTTTAAGTGGCTGAGAAAATGATCCTCCTCCTATTAGAGGTCTGAAAAGAATAAAAAATTGTTCAGACTTTCTCACAGATCATATAAGTGACATCATAAAGTGACTATTTTGATGATTTATGTCCAGGTCCTATCAAGCATCTCAAAAGAAACTAAATATTCAACACAACTTGTTGTGGATCTAGAATTGCCAGTGCCCCAGCACTAAAATTTTAATAGGTAGTCTTATCATTTTCACCCCCCTCATCTCATTTTTCCTTTATTATCTTTATTTTTTGCCCTTTACACCCTAACATCAGTATGCAGTTTCTCCAAACTGGTATCTATACATTTTCCAATAAATCTTTTAAGGAGAATTTGTTTAACAATCAAGAGCCTCTTTGGTTGGGGATCATTTCCTTTATTCTCATGACCTTAATGTTTGATGAAGGGCTAATGTTGTTTGCTAGCTAGGAGAGATTAGATGCTACAGTCATTCTCAAAGGTCAAATGGTGCAGAAAATTGTCAGTAAGAAACTTTCAAGGTGAAGCTAGGTGTGAAAAAGGCTTTGCTATTTAAGAGCTACTTTATTTTTCAGTAAGTTTCTCCTTTCTTTTCAACAGGAATGTTTTTGAAGGTCTGGAGGCTCGCACACAGTACCGATACAGACTGAAGTGTATGAATGATTTTGGTTCAAGTGCCTGGAGTGCTGTTGTCACTGTGTCAACCACAAAGAAACCTCAAACCAGTGAAGATCTCCAGAGGGCTGTCACTAAGGGAGATGTGGAGACTGTCAGAAATATTCTGCCTGGTAAGTTTACGATGCTCATGTTCTTTTCCGTTATTACTCCACCTCTCTCTACAGGGAAACACTTATGGAGGATCGTTAGAACAAAAAAATATATATTAGAAAAAAAGGTACTGAATGAAATGAAATAAAAAGATGAAATGGAATAAAAAGGGTTCGCTCTTTCTTGAAGGACTCAAGACTTGGCTTCTTTACTCTATATTTAGGAAAAGGTTTCTGTAATGCACGGTAAAAAAATTAAAAAGTGACATAATATTGTAATTTACGTGGTATGGAATCAATGGGAATGGAAATGAACACCTGTGGGAGAGCTGTTTCATTTTTCTGAATAAATCATGGGTTCAGCACCAACCAACAATGATTCCTTGCCTGTAAACTAAATCCAGTGACTCTGCAATTGTCCAAAATATTCCTTAAAAAGTTTCCTTTTCTTTAAGTTTTCAGGGATACTGTTAATTAAGACCTTTTTGTGTATGTTCTTTGGATATGTTATCAATCTGAACTGCGCTTATTGAAATCTCTAATTTTGTTAAGGTGTAGGCGACCAGTAATTATTCTGGCTCTTTGTAACAGGGTCTTCAATAACAGCCAGTTACCTACACACCTGTATGCTCTCTTACCGCCATCTGTTTAGCCTGTGAGCAGGTTCTAATGTTTTGTTTCCACCTTACAGCCCCTTTTCCGGGCACAGCGGCCCATTATACTATCAGCAGCCGCCAAGAAGAAAAAGTTATTGAAACCGCTGTTGAAATTTTTTCGAAATATGTACTTATCGACTTAGTTTGGTCGGGCCAGACGGGAAAAAGGTTGGCTCAATTTCATGACGTACAGACCAAGCGCAGCGAGGTCCGTGCGCCATGACGGAGAGCCAAATGTTTTCTCGTTCGGCCCGACCAGACATAGCCGATGAGTATTTCATCATATGGCCAATAACTATTGAAAATTTCGAAAATTTTGTTTCAGACTTAATATGACGCGATAGACGGGCGCTCGCGGGCAATAAAAAAGATTCTACAATAGAAAGTTTTCCTCTGTTTTTTCGAGTCAGAACAACTAAACCACAACTCATCGAAAAACCGCGACTTTTTTTACTCTTTCCTTCTTTTTCTTTAAGTTTTTGCAGCAAAGCTGCATGAGGGCAGGGCCGGATGGCTTTTCCGGACCGGCTCACGTCAACCCGTCCGGCCCTACACACCTCAGCTTTCACTGTTGCTTTTTTTGGGGATTACGCGTGCGGGGCTTTACGGGCCTTATGATGATTATGCACAAGCGAAGGAGTGAAGAGTTCGTGAATGTCTTCAATAGTAGTATTCTATACTGACTGACAGCAGACTCTAAAAGAGTGGAATATTCAGTAAATGTAGCAAAGCTGGCTTAACTTCTGTCATCTATCTCTGATTTTTGGTCGATGGTTTGTTTGGCGTCTGTCAGCCAACTTCTATCTGTAAGTTAACTGACTGTTATCGGACGTGTCTGACAGCTTACAGGTTCTAACTGATCGTTGATATGTTGGTCAAATGTTACTAAGTTGTTAGCTGACAGTTTACCAACAGTCAGTAAAGGGGGGCTCTTATAGCTTTTAGCCAAAATTTGGCATTAAATTTCTTACTTACAGACTCGCAATTCTGTATTTTAGGACTTAGCTGGCAAGCAGTTGATTCCCCCGACAAGTTTGGTTTATCACCACTCATGATTGCAGGTAACACAATCCACTGCTAATTACTGACACAATTACTGAAACTAAAACTATGACGTGGTTTTGACGATAAATTGTTCGATGTTTCCGTCACATTTCACAATCATAAATTGGAAAAATTTTAAGTTAAATGAACTATATAACTTCAACTATGAATGACTTCATGACTATGAATACTTCTTTTCAAAATTCCTGTTCGTTGCATCTGTTACAAATTGTTATACCAGCTAACTATGAACAATTATTTCTTCTCAATCAGCTTTAGCTTCGTCCTCTTTTTTAGGTTTTTCTCACCAGATCTGCAAGCTTTGCAGGGTTGTTAGTTTCCCACCTGGACAGTGGTAACATATCGAAATTAAATTGTTTTTTTCCAATGGTATTTTAGCCCAAAAAGGTTATGTAGATGTGGCACGAGTTTTGCTGGAAACTGGCGCAGATGTGAACTTTCAAAGCAGCAGTGGAAAAACAGCCTTGATGATGGCTTGCTTCTCAGGTTTATAACTTGTGATATTATATCTCGCGCTTGGGGCATAATCCCGAGCGGTAAAAAGCTCGGTCCGTGACTTACAGTACGGGCGTCGCACTTGGTTAGTAAGACGCATTTAGCTTTCGCCAAAGGTCCAATCTTTGTAAATGGCAATTTTAAACTTGACGGAAAATGTTTCCGCTGACATACTTTGTCAAAAAATTTGTCATCTCTCCATCTTCTGTGATCTGTAATTGTGTCTCTTGGCCTAAAGAAGCTCTTGATTGTTCAACAGATTCTCCTTGTCAGCACCTTAGGAAATGTATAGAGTACAGTATGGAGAATAGTGAAATTATCTGGTGTTGACTTTCATTGGCCTGGGTAGTTCTAATTTGGACATTCTTACGTTCTCTAAAACACATCTGTTCACGACGTTTCTTATAAAATCTTGCAGGAAATGTGGAGGTTGCGCAGCTGTTAAAACAACATAAGGCTGACTGGGATTTAGTGGACAGGACAGGTTCAACAGCTCTTCACTGGGCGGTCGACGGAGCCAATTTGGATATGATCCGCTGGATGCTTCAAGATGGCTGCCGAGTGGACGTCAAAGACGAAACGTCAGGTGATTCTAGAATTGTTGTAAAGCACGCAGGAAGCGGCTTGAGGGGGAAACGGTGTAGGAGGAAGAACGAGGCTTAGTCGAGATCGAGTGTTGTGACGTCTCTAGTGCTCAAGCCACTCCCTAAGATAACGAGGCAGATCTTGGAGAACATTTCATACGCAGCTAAAATTTGGGAAAGCTATTCTAAATCACTGCTTTGGTATACTCCCCTGATGAATTATAAAAAAAAAAAAATTATTTCATCGTCGAATGCGTTTATTACAAAAATGTAGGTATAAAAATTTGTCGTGAGTGTTGGACAAAGAAAGAATCTGGGTCCTTACGAGGATCGAGCATCAGCTATTTCTATTTTCTTGGTAGGATGCTGTGCCAACTGATCATAAGTCACAGAGAAATCTTAATGTGCAATGCTATTTACGAAGTTCATGTTTGACAAGAGTTCTGTATGCAACAAGGATTATCAATGTCGCCAGCATCTTGTGGGAACAATAAGAATGATGGTTAATTCTGAGCTTGCCTACGAATACACCCCTAATGATAATTCAAAGAAGTTGATTTAGGAACTTGTGGTACAAAGTACGTGTGTGCGGTGAGGTTTCAATTATATAACCGTGGATTGCCAAATTTCGACGAACAATTCTCATTCGTAGGTAGAACGAACATCCACTGGCAAATTGCAGTTTTTTCTCTGCTCGAGAATGTCTGTTTATGAGATATTTATATCAGATATTGATGTCTGTCTCTAATGCTTTGCAATAATTTTTCGTAGGCTGGACTCCTCTGATGAGAGTAGCAGCTGTGAGCGGTAATGTGAACGTTGCCAAGGTACTGATACATCATGGGGCCAATGTGCACACAATGGACAAAGAAGGGAAAACGACTCTGATGAACGCTGCACTTAATGGCTTTGAAGCGCTTGTTAAGCTTCTCGTTAAAAAGGGTGTCCCTGTCAAGCTGAAATCAGAGCACGGCAAAACGGCGCTGGATTTTGCCAGGTCTTTTGAACACGAAAGGGTGACTCACTTTCTGCAAGAGCATGTAGAGGCTTTGAGGAAGGCTGACAACGAACGCAAATTGGCTGAAGCGAAGGAAAGAAGGCACAGCCGAGAGCGGATTGAAAGTCATGGCTTAAAATCTGTTACAAACGGTGCACAGAATGGAACATCAGAGGCGGTTGTGTCGTAACTGATGTTTGAAACAAAAACGGTTTAAAGCCATGAGATATTAAATTTAGTTATTACTACTCCCCAGTTCATGAGTAAACCTTTAGCTCCTGGAAGAGTTAAACTTGTAACTTCTCCCTATAATATCCATGCATGAATCAAACAGGTCATGAGAATTCTCGAAATTATCAGATACAAGTTGTTACCTTGATCCAACACTAAATCATTTTCAATAATTTACAAGGAAATGTAGAGCAGCTAGAGGGGAGAATCGAGAATCAGATCTTGGAAGTTAAAGGGTTAACAGTCCTGTTTGGGTCAATTTTAAAATGTCAGTGGGATTTTTAATACCTTTCTCGACTAAAATCGCCCGTTACCGTTTGCGACAGCCTTTCTATTAATTTGCAAAGGTGATTTGAAGTTTACTTTCACGGTTTAAAAGTTTATACAGACAATTGAGTATACCGTGTACGACAACCATTCTATTGTTCCAAAATGTGATGAAGTTAATTTCACGGTTTTTAAGTTTGTACAGACAATTGAGTTAAATACTTACTAATATATTTCATCTTAAATTTATTTAATTTCTGTGATGAAAGCGAACTTCGTCAAAGTTTTCATTGGTAGAAGCAAATATGCTACTCCGTAATTTGCTGAATTTCAGACAGAAATAAAAAGTTCATCAAGAATAATATCATTTTTTGTATTTGTCATCATGGCTAGCAAATCCCAGCAATCAAGCCATGAGCCTGCATTCCAGGTACTGGTGAACACTGATTAGAGATCAGCGAAGGGAAATGAGAGGGAGAGGTGTGGTGGAATTGGAAGCGAAGGGGGGGGGGGAGAAGGGGGACCTTGTCATTAGCTTCCCTCTCGGTTTGAGTCTCTTTCTTCCTGTGGAATCCTCCTGTTGCCATCCGGTTAAGAAATTTAACCAAAAAAAGGGAGGATGCCTCGTTTGGAAAAACAGGCCAACAATTTCAACACTACATCTCTGCGGACTGATACTTCCAAACATTTCATGTTTGCGTAAACCGACCGCGTAATACTGGGTGACCACGTAACACAGTGCCACTTGGTACACATTCGAGTGTTAGCAGTGTGTGATTTTAACTCATTTATTCCTGCAACGATTACAACATTTTCGAGTACAAATTCTAAGATGATCTTTAAAGCATTTGACGTGATACTTTCGTCCTTCAATTCGATTATTTCCTGGTTGGACTCCTTCACTCCATTTGTAAACATGGCGTAGAAATAATTACTACTAACAGCCAGCACTATACGATGAACTGGAAAAAAGTCTTCGTCGACTTTTAATCGAACGTCGACGAATTGACCTTCATCTCTGAACAGAGCGCATTTGTAATGGAGAATCACAGATAATGTAACCATTTTGCAAGACGACCGGTGCTGAAAACGGTATATTGCGTGATCCATTATCTACAATGGTCACGCAAACACCTTCAAGTTACGAGGGGGAGGGGGAAGGGTTAAATTTTACAAGGGAGATGATAGGTATTTTCAATGGTGAAGTTGAGTTAAAATTTTGAACGAGCAATGTCTCTTTTTTCGAAGAAAGGGAAAAGATCTGTTTTTTGCTCTGGAAATTCTCAAAAATGTAGGATTGGGCAAACATAACAGATGATTTTAATACACTGACAGAGTTTTCAGTTTTTCAGATTTTTTTAGGAAAAACAAAAAGGGCATAGTTATGGCCAAGAGAACTCCTGGAAATCAATAAAATCAACTCGCCCTTTACTTGAATCCACTCCTCTGGAGCGCGAGCACTCTCTTCGATGTCATCGCCCAGAATGCTATTGTCTTTCGCGACATGTACTTGCAGTGCCCATTTAATCAGCGGGCAGCATAATAATTTGCATATCCTGAACTAGTCGGTTGTGATTGGTCAGCAGGTAAAGCTTTGGGAATACATGAGTCTCTTTGCAGATTTCAGCTGCTGTCAATCAAACGGTTGGATGCGTAAAGTAAACCCCAAGGTGACATAAAGTGAACAATAGCAATAATTAACAATAGCCACGCTCTTAACAAAGCGTTCAGCAAATTCGTTTGCAGCGAATTCTTATATGGACTGACAGACTCCCGTTGGTCAAAATGTTATCGGAATTATAAAAATTAGTATCATGAAAATAGAAAATAGAAAAAAGAAAAATTTAGAAAAAAAGTATCATGAAGAATCTACTTCGTTAAAATCGCTTCAATCGGTAGGGAAAAATATGAGCGATGCTTCCGACAACCGGCTTGTGAGTGCGACGATCGTCGAGATAGAACTAGAGTCTATCTTGCGACAATAATAGGAGTGTGGTTTCCATATGATAGTAACGATTGCTGAATATTTCTGCAGCGATCTCAGCGATCATATCTTAAAAGCTTTTACAGTTTTTTAAGCATTGTCTAGTTACCACCTCAATTTCAATACTAATTGGGCGGCGATTGTTTCCGGAGGCGGAGCTTAACATACCTTGATATTCTCGCGGGAAGTTTAAAATAGGTCACTTGTATTCTCGTGGGGTCTCCAAAGGACAAATTTGGATAGAACACTACGATGCTTAGCAAACGTTTTCGAAATTCGCGTTTTGCGACTACTTCCAAAGTTTGGAATCCCTTGAAAATTTCTATGACGCTTTCTAGAATGTCAAATAAAAATAACCATATGGTAAAAGAGAAATCTAGCAATTGAGTGAAGATAAATTACGCCTGAAAGTGCGCTGAGATCGACTTCTCATACAAGCAGGATGCTAACATAGTCAATTTTCAAGGCAAATTTGCGACCTCTTCTGAAAGCGCAAGAACAAAATGAGAATGATACACTATTCAATTGAACTTTCTTCTTTAAAAGCCATATGGTAAAAGTAGCATTTGAAAAGTAGTTTATCCGTAAACGAAGAGAACGTAAGCCTTCCTCGACATTTTCAGCCCTTTTCCTTTATTGTTTGACAGTCATTTTCTAATTAGCTTTTAAATTTAGCGCCAGCGTCTCAATGAAAGTCCCGGATATGTCGCTGAATTCTGGGCGATGTGTTTCTCTTTCATTGTTAATCATCCATTGTTAAGTGCAACACCTATTTAGTGACACATAAACCTTTTATCGATAAAGTCAAAAACTTTATTAGGCAATTAGAAAATATTACAAGGTACAACAAAACCGATCAGAGCGTTAAAGCATCATACTCACAAAGCCTTTGCAAAACTGAGATCACTTTAAGTTTTGATCTCTTGGCCTTTACCAGTTTTTAATTTGCATACTTAATACGCGTTTAAGAAAATTATGTAAGAAAGTCGATATACTTTTTTCTACAGCACTACGATGAGCCATACTCATAACCTACAGCTTTATTTCATGACTCCTCCTCACTTCTCTCAATGCTGTCCAAAAATTTTTACTCAATTCATGTATCGTATTGAAAACCAAATTATGTTTTCATGTGCCATACTCTCAGCTAATATGGTACACAAACTACACAATAAACTATTTTAATTGTAGACCTATTAACACTCCTTTGAAACAACAATGAATTTTAATAGTTTGTGTTGAATATCATAACATGGCTTTTCAGTAAACTACATTGAAACAAGTATCTAGACCTCTTTCTTTACCATTCCGTACATTACCAGATTTTTACATGTGTGAAATTTATACCTTAGATTTGTAACTGCTTTCTTTATCTTAAATTTCTTTCTTGACAGGCAAATAACACAAGACTGCGTCTTTATTTACTTTTGTTAAGTTTTCCCATTCACCTAGGTGGACAGGATAATTTTCCTCTGGAGGAATTCGGAGGATTCAGCACTACAATGAGCCATATTCATAACCAACAGCTTTATTCATGATTCCTCCTCACTTCTCTCAATGCTGTCCAAAAGTTTTTACTCAATTTATGTATCGTATTAAAAACCAAATTATGTTTTCATGTGCCATACTTTTAGCTAATATGGAACACAAACTACACAATAAACTATTTTTATTGTAGACCTATTAACACTCCTTTGAAACAACAGTGAATTTTAATGGTGTGTGTTGAGTATCATAACATGGCTTTTCAGTAAACTACATTGAAACAAGTATCTAGACCTCTTTCTTTACCATTCCGTACATTAACTGATTTTTACATGCGTGAAATTTTTACCTTAAATTTGTCACTGCTTTCTTTATCTTAAGTTTTCTTTCTTGACAGGCAAATAACACAAGACTGCGTTTTCACTTACTTTTGCTAAGTTTTCCCATTCACCTAAGTGGACAGGATAATTTTCCTCCGGAATTCTAACACCACTGTCAATTGGAAAATTGTTAATTAAAAAAAACACCCTCCTTTCAATTTCAAACGCACCTAAGTTGTTTTGCGGGATATGTTTCTGCTCCACAACAGACCAGGTGTCCTTACGTTTGTCATACAATTCCACAGATGGACGGCCCCCCAATTCCACAGCTAGATAGCTCATAAAAGGAAAACCCATGCTTGAATTGAAACCCCCTGCCACACATAGTGTGTTATTGACTACAAAAATACTAGACCCAAAATGAGGATGGCAGGTCGAAGCTTTACGTTCCCATTCATTTTTCTCTGGGTCAAAACAATGCACTACCGCTGGTTTGTCGACGTTCCCATGTTCTATATAACCATGAATTACATATATTTTACAATTCATTACTGTCGCCGCAACAGAATAGAAAAATCCATCATCTTGGGGACAATTCAACTCTTTCCCAGCTTGCCAAACGTCACTGTTCAAATCGTACCTTTGGGGAGGATTTGATTCAGTAATGACATACAAATACTCACTGACTGAGCATACGCAGATTTGAAACGGGCAAAGCAATTCGTCTACGCGTTCCCCCATATTCAACTTTGGAAGTTTCTCCCACGTGTTATTTAATATGTGATAACGGTATACAACATATTTAAAGCACCCCTGTTGCTGTTGCACCTCTGTGACTACATACAGGTAATTTCCAATTAATTCTGCAGAATAACATACATCAGTTATTTCACCCAGCTGAGCAACCGATGCCAAAGGCTTCCACAATTTGGTGTCAACATCAAAATATTGAGCCAAAGCGTCTTCGGACTGATGACAAGGGAAAGTCGAGCACTTGGTGCTTACCGCTTTCTCCTCTATTTTGCCTCTGGTCTTTCGCTCCTTTACAAATGTTTCTCTTCTTGAATCTTGAGTAGGATGGATTGCCACGAGAACCTGAAATAAAAAAAAAATCTTGGAATGAAAATGACCTCATTGACGCACGCAAGTGATCCGAAATCACTATGCTGGATGAGGCTTTGGTTAAAGCTGGGAACAAAATGATAGGATTGTTAAACTTTCAGTGTTCCATTGCAAAAGATCACTCTATGATCGGTTAACTTGGAATCTATAGTTATTGATTAAAGAAATCCTAGTCGGTAACGTCTAGAATTTGACCCCAACGGTTTTTCTAGGAAGGAAATGCACGGAGGCGCGTAATATTTATTCATCGCAAACCACAGCGGGGAGGCGCATGAAAATACATGCACAAGAGGAAAGACCGTTCATTGGAAACCTTAAAAGCTCTGTCATTGTTAAGAATCATCATCAAATGGATAAATTTAGTTGTAATATTTTGCAATGGAGAAAATTTGCTACGAATTTAAATAAGAAGTTTTTCGTCTCCATCCACAGGACTCATGTGGTAGGCAGAGCGACTTGATTTCATTCCCTGATTGCCGGTTTAAAGAGAGTGTAACTCAAAAAACCGATTAACCTAACAATTTCTCTTAAAAAGGGAAAATCTTTCATGCATTACATTCATGCTCACGGTCGAGAAGATTTCATATTTTCTCCACCGACACAATCGGAAATATTTGGCAACAGTAGTGAAACTAAGTCAGAATGTCAAGAGAGTCTATGAAACCGGTCTCTCCTTTGTCGAGTGAACAGGGTATGCCATGAACAATAAATGCAATTTTACATGAACAGACAAATGCATTAGATTCTTACCGGACACATTGATCTTGGTTTCATTTTCTCTGCAGCAAATTCATGTGAAGGCATGCAACGATGCATCATGGATTCTTGCAAATGAATGTTCACCTCGGGAACTCGCTGCATTTCATCTGTATTCAACTCTTCAATCACAATCTTCACGTCTACTGGCCCCAGACGAACAGCTCCGATAACTTTTCCAGCAACTGGCATCCTCTCTTCCCCTTTGTATTTGATCCACTTGATCACCGATTTGAAGACGAAGGCTTCAGAGGGTGAATTGAGGTCATCTCGACTAAGAAGGCTGTGTAGTTGATCTGCATTGATATGAGTAAGGAATTCTTTACTATCGCAAACATCTTTGTAAATGGATGCCATCTTGGCCTCTGCGGCCTCTTGCAGATCTCTGAGACCGAGTCTTTCGGCGACAGCACACAGCACGGAGTAGTTCTTGAGGTCAATTCCATTTTCTTTGAATTCCTTCTTTAGGAAATCCCAACACAGATGAACAACACTCGCGATTTGAAGCTGACTAGCTGTGAGAAGAACCTCAGATACGTTCTTCTGGTTGACGTGAAGGTCACCACTGTAGATGGAGTCCATAACGATCTTGAATATCTCCGGTGAAATGCTTTTATCTTTCAGTTCGATCAGTTCCTGGTTCGCTTCTTTCCCATCAGTAAATATGGCGCGGAAATAATCGCTATACGACGCAAGAACAACTCGGTGAGCTGGGAAAAGTGTATCACCCACTTTTAAACTTATGTCGATAAATTCACCTTCTCTACGGAACTCGGAACACTTAGAGAGAAGAGTTCTAGAATTGGCCGCCATCTTTATGCTATTTCAATCAGCGGAGATCTATGCTTGTAGAAACTTCGAAGGAAATAAGAAGGTCGTGTTGCAGAATATTTGTCTCAACAGAAAGCCTGACGCTTCCAAAAATTTAATGAGTATCCTGTTCCACAAAAGAAAGATGATTACCACAGATGTCTCTATTTTTTCCGAGGGTTTCAATGACATAAACTTTTGTCTCAACGCCCACTCCTTGGGAAGGCAACGGAGTTGTTTTGACCAAATACGAGGAGAATAAACTAGCACGTTTTTGATTCAGCAAATCGTCTTTATCTTTCAAGAAATCTAGACAAAGCAAACGGCAATATTCCATGCTATTTCAATGATTTATCAATACCAAGAAAGTACTTTAATAAAATATATGTTGCTGAGGTCGTCGCCATGTACATTAAACCCCAGAACTATCCGTGTGAAAATAAGAAAGCCCGATTCTTAACTTTCGTCTTTCGAAAAAACACGAATTCTACGCTCATTCCTAAAAACCATTACTCATTCAGTTTCGAGGACTACAACCCAGGGCCGGTTCAAAAGCCTTTTTGAGAGCGTCCAATCATCAAGTTGAAAACAAATAATAATTCTACCAATTTTTTAATTATTTCACAGCTTTTAGAACTGAAATCAGATTTCTCACTAACCGGCCCGGGTTCTATCTTAAGCCAACTTTGAACAATTCGGTGCGGAAGTTTAATGTTAGATTAACTTAAAGTTGTACCTAATTTCCAGCAGACAGAATTTATGTCAGTAAATTTGATTCAGCGTTACTCTGCTGCTAAACTCTCGTTCCTTACATATAGGTAGCACAAAACTGCGTCATTGTTAACCTTTCTAAGATTCTCTCATTCATCTAAAGGCACAGGACAACACTAACAATTTTATCACTAGCGGTTGATATTATAGCACTAACAGCTGAGTTTTATCATAAGCAATTGATATTTTAGCACTAACGATTGAGTTTTATCACCAGCGATTGATACTTTTGGCACAAATGGCTTCCCATACTTTTGTGACGCACTTCAACTTAATTACCATTTAATACAATGCTCGGTTTGCAATATGTTCTCAGTCTTTTAATCGAAGAGAAAAATATGTTATTTCGAGTTATCAGACACTTTGAGCTAGTGTTTTTTTTAAGTCCATCAGGAGGGGGCCAGTAGTATCAACCCATCTCATTCAAATTTAAGTCTGTTATGCAGTGACGCAACTTTGTACAATTTTTTTCTAAATTACCTGGTAATTTTCTTTGAGTCACACCCATGCAAAAATCTCCCCATTGCTTTTACATAGTAGTCCAAAATAAATACCCTTATTGGCTAAAGTGAGACCATGCTCCCATCAAAATGAGTGTTTTATATTTTCAGAGCTCTTTTTAGTGGCTGAGAAAATGACCCTCCCCCTATTAGAGGTCTGAAAAGAATAAAAAATTGTTCAAACTTTCTCACAGATCATATTAGTGACATTATGAAGATACTAAATGTCCTGGTCCTATCAAGCATCTCAAAAGAAATTTACTATTCAATACAATTACAACTTGAGTTGCCAGTGCCCCAGTACTAAAAGTTTAATAGGTGGTTTTATCATTGTAAAATAAGGGCTGAAAAGTATTTCTTACATATAGTATGAAACGACCACGAGGTTTTTCGAGATGTGTGTTTCAGTCGTCGAATGCTAGAGCGACCATCTGCGTGTAGAGTTTAGTTTCGAGGATTGAAATGTTGAGAACAGTTAACTGTGGGCTGAGAGATATTTTCTAAAATCATTTTCACCCCCCTTATCTCATTTTTCCTTTATTATCTTTATTTTTTGCCCTTTACACCCTAACATCAGTATGCAGTTTCCCCAAACTGGTATCTATACATTTGCCAACAAATCTCTTAAGGAGAATTTGTTTAACAATCAAGAGTTTCTTTGGTTGGGGGATCATTTCCTTTATTCTCATGACCTTAATGTTTGATGAAGGGCTAATGTTGTAAGGAGAAATTAGATGCTGGTCACTCTCAAAGATCAAATGGTGCAGAAAATTATAAGTAATGGACTTTCAAGGTTTAGTTAGTGTGGAGAAGGCTTCGCTTTTTAAAAGTTATTTTATGTTTCAGTAAGTTTCTCCTTTCTATTCAACAGGAATGTTTTTGAAGGTCTGGAGGCTCGCACACAGTACCGATACAGACTGAAGTGTATGAATGATTTTGGTTCAAGTGCCTGGAGTGCTGTTGTCACTGTGTCAACCACAAAGAAACCTCAAACCAGCGAAGATCTCCAGAGGGCTGTCACTAAGGGAGATGTGGAGACTGTCAGAAATATTCTGCCCGGTAAGTTTAGGATGCTCATGTTCTTTTCCGTTATTACTCCACCTCTCTCTACAGGGAAACACTTATGGAGGATTGTTAGAACAAAAAAATATTATCAAGGCATCGTAGCAGCACGAAATAAAATATCGCTTGGATGAATCACACGATGCTTTTGAAGTTCATTTTTTAAACATTTTTTAATGAAAACAAAACATGTTCCGGATTAAACATCATCCATCGTCAGTTGTGTTATGAGAAATAAAATGAAATCATGATACAATAAATAGTATAACAAAGTCAGATTTTAACAAGAATAATTAAAAAAAAGAAAAAAGGGTGAAACTATTTAAGCTAGTATTAGTATGAAAGGGATAAATTAAGATGTTTGACCTGGGAATTCAAGGAAGGCTGCTCCCAAAGGATTTGCATGGCTTCTTTCATTTTCTATTGGAATCTTGTGGAAGCAGAGTCCAGAATTTTAAAACAATCTTCTGAACAAAGGGAGCGACAATTTCCAGAAACTCTAAGGTGCTTAAAGATGTGGGAATGTTTGTCAGAGGCGAGCTGTTCGCTGATGCGAGTGGCGACGTGTCTGTTGGTTTCATCAAGATAACAGGCACTACGGCCTGTACATGAAAACATATAAATAACTCGCGAAATTTCGAAAATTTTGTTTCAGATTAAATATGACACGATAGACGGGCGTTCGTGGGACAATAAAAACAGATTCTACCATGAAAACTTTTCCTTTGATTTTTCGAGTCAGAACATTAAAACCACAAATCATCGAAAAACCGTGACTTTTTTCACTTTTCTCCTTCTTTTTCTCTAAGTTTTTGCAACAAGCTGCGTTAGTGCTGGGCCGGACGGCTTTCCCGGACCGGCTCACGTCAACCCGTCCGGCCCTACATACGTCAACTTTCACTGTGGATTTTTATGAGGATTACGCGGGCGGGACTTTCCGGTTCTTCAAAGGACTATTATGCACAAGCAAAGTTGTGAAGAATTCGTCAATGTCTTCAACAGTAGTATTCTATACTGTCTGACAGCAGACTCTAAAAGAATGGAATATTCGGTAAACGTAACAAAGCTGGTTCAACTTCAATCATCTATCTCTGATTTTTGGTCGATAGTTTGTTTGTCGTCTGTCAGCCAACTTCTCTCTGTAAGTTAACTGACTGTCATCGGACATGTCTGACATCTTACAAGTTCTTACTAATCGTGGATGTGTTGGTTAAGTGTTACCAAGTTGTTAGCTGACAGTTTACCAACAGTCAGTAAAGGGGGGCTCTTATTACCTTCTAGCCAACATTTGGCATTAAATTTCTTACTTACAGACTCCGAATTCTGTATTTTTGGACTTGGCTGGCAAGCAGTTAATTCCCCCGACAAGGCTGGTTTATCACCACTCATGATTACAGGTAACACAATCCACTGCTAGTACTGACATAATAGCTGAAACTAAAACTATGACTTGGTTTTGATGATAAATTGTTCGGTGTTTCCGTCACATTTTCACAATCATAAATTGGAAAATTCTTAGTTAAATGAACTACATAACTTACTTAATTTGGCACCATCTATAACCAGTTCTATTTGATGGAAAACATTTCCACCTGGGCAGAGGTAACATATCGAAATTAAATTTTTTCCTTCCAATGGTATTTTAGCCCAAAAAGGTTATGTAGACGTGGCACGAGTTTTTCTGGAAACTGGCGCAGATGTGAACTTTCAAAGCAGCAGTGGAAAAACAGCCTTGATGATGGCTTGCTTCTCAGGTTTATAACTTGTGTTATTATATATCTTTAGTAAGTTGATACGTGCGCTATGATTAGTCAACTTAGCTGGCTGACTTAGCTGGAGATCTTGCCCCTCTATCTGATTCTAAAGATGTAATAATATCTTATTAGCTTCATTTTATCGGTCCGTACTGTAAATTATGAAACCTAGTTTTTTCCCCGCGAATTTATTACCCGAGGGCCTCGCGCTTGGGGCATAATCCCGAGCGGTAAAAAGCTCGGTCCGTGACTTACAGTACGGGCGTCGCACTCGACGGAAAATGTTTCCGCTGACATACTTTGTCAAAAAATATAGTCATCTCCCCATCTTGTGTGATCTGTAATTATATCTCTTGGCCCTGATGATCGCTATGTTCGAGCGGTGTTTAGTTGAAATGTGGCTCTCAAGGCTTTCATTTATAAACACTACTAAAAACTCAAACCAACCTCTGTACACGGAAGGGGGTTCTTCTGTTAAGTCGTGGAGTAGTGTGCCGCCCGCGTCTCCAAATCCTGACCTCATTTCAGACCAAATTTTGTTATTCTCCACACCCATTTGTATTTGATTTTGTTGCGTGATTAAGATTTTCCTCTGTGCAGAAGCTAAGAATCAGTGATGTTCGCCCAAATGTTCGCCAGGAATGTAATACTTTGGTCACTTTCATTTCTCTGTTGTCTGTATGTATTCAGGAGGCAAATGCATTGATATGATCTCGTGACTCCCGTGAAAAACGTATCCGAATTAAAATCATAATGGTCAAAATCTATACGTTTAAGCTTATAAAGCTGCTTTTAAATAACTTGAAAGTTTTGGACTACAGTACAGTTTGTTTTGACTAGTCGCATATTGGCAAATATTGATCGAGTTGTCAGGGTAAGACTTTACAGAAATTGTCCGGAAGGGAAAAGACAAAGTTTGAGTTCTGCAGGGTTCGAGTTATCGAGAGTAAAATTAGAGCAATTGTGTAATGAAAACGCAGAAGATATCGATTGTGGCTCGAGTTCACGTGATGTGCGAGTCAGCTATGGTTTAAACCTTTGAACCCTAAGAGTGACTGGCATCTAATTTCTCCTTACAATATCACCCCTGAATCAAATATTTAGGTCACAGAACAAAGGAAATGATCAACGACTAAAGAAGCTCTTGATTGTTCAACAGATTCTCCTTGTCAGCACCTTAAGAAATGTATAGAGAACAGTATGGAGAATAGTGAAATTATCTGGTGTTGACTTTCATTGGCCTGGGTAGTTCTAATTTGGACATTCTTACGTTTTCTGAAACACTTCTGTTCATGACGTTTTTTATAAACTCTTGCAGGAAATGTGGAGGTTGCGCAGCTGTTAAAACAACATAAGGCTGACTGGGATTTAGTGGATAGGACAGGTTCAACAGCTCTTCACTGGGCGGTCGACGGAGCCAATTTGGATATGATCCGCTGGATGCTTCAAGATGGCTGCCGAGTGGACGTCAAAGACGAAACGTCAGGTGATTCTAGAACTGTTGTAAAGCACGCAGGAAGCGGCTTGAGGGAGAAACGGTGTAGGAGGAAGAACGAGGCTTAGTCGAGATCGAGTGTTGTGACGTCTCTAGTGCTCAAGCCACTCCCTAAGATAACGAGGCAGATCTTGGAGAACATTTGATACGCAGCTAAAATTTGGGAAAGCTATTCTAAATCACTGCTTTGGTATACTCCCCTGATGAATTATAAAAAGAAAAATTATTTCATCGTCGAATGCGTTTATTACAAAAATGTAGGTATAAAAATTTGTCGTGAGTGTTGGACAAAGAAAGAATCTGGGTCCTTACGAGGATCGAGCATCAGCTATTTCTATTTTCTTGGTAGGATGCTGTGCCAACTGATCATAAGTCACAGAGAAATCTTAATGTGCAATGCTATTTACGAAGTTCATGTTTGACAAGAGTTCTGTATGCAACAAGGATTATCAATGTCGCCAGCATCTTCTGGGAACAATAAGAATGATGGTTAATTCTGAGCTTGCCTACGAATACACCCCTAATGATAATGCAAAGAAGTTGATTTAGGAACTTGTGGTACAAAGTACGTGTGTGCGGTGAGGTTTCAATTATATAACCGTGGATTGCCAAATTTCGACGAACAACTCTCATTCGTAGGTAGAACGAACATCCACTGGCAAATTGCAGATTTTTCTCTGCTCGAGAATGTTTGTTTATGAGATATTTATATCAGATATTTATGTCTGTCTCTAATGCTTTGCAATAATTTTTCGTAGGCTGGACTCCTCTGATGAGAGTAGCAGCTGTGAGCGGTAATGTGAACGTTGCCAAGGTACTGATACATCATGGGGCCAATGTGCACACAATGGACAAAGAAGGGAAAACGACTCTGATGAACGCTGCACTGAATGGCTTTGAAGCGCTTGTTAAGCTTCTTGTTAAAAAGGGTGTCCCTGTAAAGCTGAGATCAGAGCACGGCAAAACGGCGCTGGATTTTGCCAGGTCTTTTGAACACGAAAGGGTGACTCACTTTCTGCAAGAGCATGTAGAGGCTTTGAAAAAGGCTGACAACGAACGCAAATTGGCTGAAGCGAAGGAAAGAAGGCACAGCCGGGAGCGGATTGAAAGTCATGGCTTAAAATCCGTTACAAACGGTGCACAGAATGGAACATCAGAGGCGGTTGTGTCGTAACTGATGTTTAAAAACAAAAACGGTTTAAAGCCATGAGATATTAAATTTAGTTATCATCAATCTCAGTTCATGTGTAACCCTTTAGCTCTTGGAAGAGTTAAACTTGTACCTTCCTATGATATCCATGCATTAATCAAACAGGTTATGAAAATTCTCGAAATTATCAGATACAAGTTGTTACCTTGATCCAACACCAAATCATTTTCAATAATTTACAAGGAAATGTGCAGCAGCTAGAGGGGAGAATCGAGAATTAAAGGGTTGACGGTTCTGTGTGGGTCAATTTTAATTTTTCAATACCTGCCTTGATTAAAATCGCCGTTACCGTTTGCAAACATCTTTTATTGTTCTAAAAGGTTATTTGAAGTTTACTTTCACGGTTTCAAAGTTTATACAGACAATTGAGTATACCGTGTACGACAACCATTCTATTGTTCCAAAATGTGATGAAGTTAATTTCACGGTTTTTAAGTTTGTACAGACAATTGATTCAAATATTTATAAATATATTTCATCTTAAATTTATTTAATTTCTGTGATGAAAGCGAACTTCGTCAAAGCTTTCATTGGTAGAAGCAAATATGCTACTCCGTAATTTGCTGAATTTCAGACAGAAATAAAAAGTTTTAATTAATCAAGAATAGTATCATTTTTTGTATTACTCATCTTGGCTGGCAAATCCCTACAATCCAGCCACGAGCCCACATTCCAGGTACTCGTGAGCACTAATTAGAAATCAGCGGAGGAAAATTAGAGGGAGAGGTGTGATGGAATTGTACGGGGGGGGGGGGAAGGGCGGACCTTGTTATGGGCTTCCTTCTTAGTTTGAGTCTCTTTCTTCCTGTGGAATCCTCCTGTTGGCATCCGGTTAAGAAATTTGACCAAAAAAATTGGAGAATGCCTCGTTTAAAAAACAGACCAACAATTTCAACACTGCATCTCTGCTGACTGATAATTCCAAACAGTTCATGTTTGCATAAACCGACCATGTAATACAGGGTGACCACTTAACACGGTGTTCCTTAGTACAGCTTCGACTGTACACTAAAACACTGTGTTAACATCGCTCAAAAATGTGATCTTAACTCATTTATTCGTGCAATAATAACAATATTTTCGAGTACAAAATTCTAAGATGATCTCTAAAGCATTTGACGTGATGCTTTCGTCTTTCAATTCGATTATTTCCTGGTTGGACTCCTTCATTCCATTTGTAAACATGGCGTAGAAATAATCACTACTCGCAGCCAGCACTATAGGAGGGACTGGAAAGACGTCTTCGTCGACTTTTAATCGAACGTCGATGAATTGACCTTCATCTCTGAATTGAGCGCATTTGCAATGGAGAATCTCAGATAATGCAGCCGTTTCGACCGATACTGAAAACGATATATTGCGTGATCAGATCTCTACAACGGTCACGCAAACACCTTCAAGTTGCGAGGGGAGGGGGAAGGGTTAAATTTTACAAGGGAGAGATAGGTATTTTCAAATGCTGAAGTGAAATTAAAATTTTGAACGAGCAATGTCTCTTTTTTCCAAGAAAGGAAAAAGATCTGCTTTTTGGTTTGGAAGTTCTCAAAATGTAGGATTGGACAAACATAACAGATGATTGTAATACACTGACAGAGTTTTCAGTTTTTCAGATTTTTTTAGAACAAACAAAAAGGGCGTAGTTTTAGCTTAGAGAGCTCCTGGAAAATCAATAAAATCAACTCGCCGTTTGAGTGAATCGACTCCTCTGGAGCGCGAGCACTCTTTTCAATGTGTTTCTCTTTCATTATTAATCATTCAATTTTTGAACTCCATTTATTCAAGTACACTCATAGACGATGTACTGAGAAGTTTCTGGGGAATATTTACAGAATTCACAACAATCAAAGGTAAGTATCGAAGGCAATTAAAATATCAAAAGTTCCCTTTTTAGCAAGTTGATTTAACGCAGTCATATTAAATTTTTATAGACTTCAGGTCAAATATGGGTCGTACTTCCGTTAATACTATTTTTACAGTACAGGTTTGTTCCGCATTATCGCTAAGCAATAAGAATTTCCGTTCTTCGCCTTAAACTTTCCCCGATTTTCGTTGTCCATGATATTGTTTCACAAAATCACCGACAGAATGGACTTCCGCTGTCAGCGCTAAAAATTTCCCCCTTATTTGTATAGCTTCAGTTATCTGATACTTTTTTAAGTCTGTGGTAAATTTCTCTTTCCTTCAGCAATCTGTCGTTGTCGAGATGGGAATCATTTTCGAAATTCTGAAGCACTGTGTCAGCAAAGAAAAAAGAAGATTCACAGATGATGGATTTGACCTTGATCTAACTTGTATCCTTCTTCACAAACGTAGGAAGTAATTCGAATTTTGACCTTGCGGGTGATTGCGGGTATAAACAACGAGGGTTTCGGGATTCTGGCCCAGTTCTCTGTATGAGACCATATTTGGGTGAGCACCCTCGGCATGCCTCAAATATGGCGGCCAACCCATGATATGTGATGGTCTGTCTGGCCTAATTGTCGTAATGTACTGTAGAATTCTGCAGTTACTGACATAATTATCGGTGAAGGTGTCATTGAAGCATGTGTCAGCGGAGGAAGAGCCAAAATTAACAAACAGAAGCGGGTTGCTCAAGAAGTTTTTCGTTAACTCACTCGATAACAGTCACCCTCTGAGATGGCATATTTCAAAGCTCTCGTGAGTAAGAAGAAACGGCGGTTTCAGGAAGATGGGTTTGATTTGGATTTAACATGTATCCTTGTTTGCACTAATGATACGGCCGTGCGTATTTATGTTTAATAGCAAGAACGTATTTACATCAGCTACTTGATCTCTAAACTAAGCGCGCTGCAGTGGTCATTTCACAAGCCAACCGTTGCAGTGTCGAGGAATTGGTGTAGAAGTTAAGGGTCTTTAAGGGCTCTTTTTTTAACTCGTATATTTCACTTTGAGCTAAATTGTTATTTGAAGTTTTCAGGGGTATTAATAATTTTCTGTGCTCTTCGCAAAAAATCGACCATTACATTCTGCTTATCGATTGGTACGTACGTTCAACATGAATCTGTGCTGGGCAATCTGGTAATCTGTGCAGTTGCTTTAATCGGGGTCGCGTATTTAACTCGGCTTCTGGTGTTTGATTTTCTCCTTCATTTAAGCTTTCCGTAAAATCGAAATAATCTTTTCATCGTATTTCTCATACGTCATTGCATAATTATTTATTTCTGGGGCCGTTGCTCAGACGGCTAAGATACGACTCAGCAAAATATTGTCTAGTTGCTAAGATATTTTACAAGCTTCCGCTTTCCTGTATGATTGTTTGAACTGTACAATATCCTTGAAGTTGAAACAAATATAAAAACTCTTTAAGAATTATTTTTAGTGGTGAATCTGTTGTAAAAAATGCATAGTTTCGCTAAACATTTCTTGATTTTTCAAGGAGAAGTGATAATTTAATCAATCCTGAGCTTCCAGAGGTCAACGCCTCTTTAGTGAAGAATAACCTTTATCGATAAACTCAAAAACTTTATTAGGCAATTAGTTAATATTACAAGGTACAGTGAAACCGATCAGAGCGTTAAAGTATCATACCCATAAGCCTTTGCAAAACTGAGATCACTTTAAGTTATGATCTGTTGGCCTTTACCAGTTTTCAATTTGCATACTTAGTACGCGTTTAAGAAAATTATCTAAGAAAGTCGATATACTTTTTTCTACAGCACTACGATGAGCCATACTCATAACCTACAGCTTTATTTCATGACTCCTCCTCACTTCTCTCAATGCTGTCCAAAAAGTTTTGCTCAATTTATGTATCGTATTGAAAACCAAATTATGTTTTCATGTGCCGTACTTTTAGCTAATATGGAACACAAACTACACAATAAACTATTTTATCGTACGCCTATTAACACTCCTTTGAAACAACAGTGAATTTTAATGTTGAGTGTTGAGTATCATAATATAGCTTTTCAGTAAACTACATTGAAACAAGTATCTAGACCTCTTTCTTAACCATTCCATGCATTAACTGATTTTTATATGCGTGAAATTTTTACCTTAAATTTATCACTGCTTCCTTTATCTTATGTTTTCTTTCTTGACAGGCAAATAACACAAGACTGCGTTTTGACTTACTTCTGCTAAGTTTCCCCATTCATCCCCTAAGTGGACAGGAAAATTTTCCTCCGGAGGAATTCTAATACCACTGTCAATAGGAAAATTGTTTATTAAGAAATACACCCTCCTTTCAATTTCAAAGGCACCTAATAAGTTGGGCGGGATACGTTTCTGCTCCACAACAGACCAGGTGTCTTTACGTTCGTCATACAATTCCACAGGTGGATGGTCCCGCATTAAATTTCTTATTGAATTGGAAATCCCTGCCACACATAGTCTGTTATTGACTACGAAAATACTAGACTCAAAATGAGGATGGCAGGTCGAAGCTTTACGTTCCCATTCATTTTTCTCTGGGTCAAAACAATGAAATACCGCTGGTTTGTTGACATTCTTACGATCTTGACAATCATGAATTACATATATTTTACGATTCATCACTGTCGCCGCAAGAAATTGGAGAATTCCTTCATGTTGGGGAAAATTCAACTTTTCCCCAGCTTGCCAAACGTTATTGATCAAATCGTACCTTTGGGGAGGATTCGATGGAGTAATGACATACAAATATTTACTGACTGAGCATAAGCAGATTTTAGGCGGGCTGCGCGATTTGTCGCTGTCTACCCCTTTATACAATTCTGGAAGTTTCTCCCACGTGTTATTTAATATGTGATAACGGTATACAGCATATTTTTGGAACCCCTGTTGCTGTTGCACATCTGTGACTAAATACAGGTAATTTCCAACCAATTCTGCAGAATAACATACATCAGTTATTTCACCCAGCTGAGCAACCGATGCCAAAGGCTTCCACAATTTGGTGTCAACATCAAAATATTGAGCAAAAGCGTCTTCGGACTGATGACAGGGGAAAGTCGAGCACTTAATGCTTACCGCTTTCTCCTCTATTTTGCCTCTGGTCTTTCGCTCATTTGCAAATGTTTCGCTCCTTAAATCTCGAGTGGGATGGATGGCCACGAGAATCTGAAAAAAAAACACTTGGAATGAAAATGACCTCGTTGACGCACGCAAGTGATCTGAAATCATTATGCTGGACGAGGCTTTGGTTAAAGCTGGGAACAAAATGATATGATTGTTAAACTTTCAGTGTTCCATTGCAAAAGATCGCTCCATGATCGGTTAACTTGGAATCCATAGTTATTGATTAAAAAAATCCTAGTCGGTAACGTCTAGAGTTTGACCCCAACGGTTTTTCTAGGAAGAAAATGTACGGATGCACGTAATATTTATTCATCGCAAACCACAGTGATAGCGGCGAGGCACATGAAAATACATGCACAAGAGGAAAGACCGTTCATTGCAAACCTTAAAAGCCCTGTCATTGTTAAGAATCATCGTCAAATGGATAAATTTAGTTGTAATATTTTGCAATGGAGAAAGTGTGCTACGAATTTAAATAAGAAATTTTTCGTCTCCATCCACAGAACTCACGTGGTAGGCAGAGCGACTTGATTGCATTACCCGATCGCCGGTTTAAAGAGAGTGTAACTCAAAAACCGATTAAAACTCTGAATAAGGTAACCTAACAACTTCTCTTAAAAAAGGGAAGATCTTTCATGCATTACATCAACGCTCACGGCCGAGAAGATTTCATATTTTCTCCACCGACAGAATCGGGAATATTGGGCAACATGATGTAATGAGACTAAGTCAGAATGTCAGGAGAGTCTATGAAACCGGGCTCTCCTTGGTCGAGTGAACAGGGTATGCCATGAACAATAAATACAATTTTTGTATAAACAGACAAATGCAAGATGACTTGAATTAAATTCTTACCGGACGCATTGATCTTGGTTTCATTTTCTCTGCAGCAAATTCATGTGAAGGCATACAGTGATGCATCATGGATTCTTGCAGATGAATGTTCACCTCGGGAACTCGCTGCATTTCTTCTGTTTTCAACTCTTCAATCACTATCTTCACGTCTACCAGCCCCAGACGAACAGCTCCGATAACTTTTCCAGCAACTGGCATCCTCTCTTCCCCTTTGTATTTGATCCACTTCATCACTGATTTGAAGACGAAAGCTTCAGAGGGTGAATTGAGATCATCTCGACCAAGAAGGCTATGTAGTTGATCTGCACTGATATGAGTAAGGAATTCTTTACTTTCGCAAACATCTTTGTAAATGGATGCCATCTTGGCCTCTGCGGCCTCTTGCAGATCTCTCAGACCGAGTCTTTCGGCGACTGCACACAGCACGGAGTAGTTCTTCAGGTCAATTCCGTTTTCTATGAATTCCTTCTTTACGAAATCACAACACAGTTGAACAACACTCGCGATTTGAAGCTGACTAGCTGTGAGAAGAACCTCAAATACGCTCTTCTGGTTGACACGAAGATCGCCAGTGTAGATGGAGTCCATAATGATCTTAAATATCTCAGGTAAAATGCTTATATCTTTCAGTTCGATCAGTTCCCGGTTCGCTTCTTTCCCATCAGTAAATATGGCGCGGAGATAATCGCTATACGACGCAAGAACAACTCGGTGAGCTGGGAAAAGTGTATCACCCACTTTTAAACGTATGTCGATAAATTCACCTTCTCTACGGAACTCGGAACACTTAGAGAGAAGAATTCTAGAATGGGCCACCATCTTTATGCTGTTTCAATTAGCGGAGATCTATGCTTGTAGAAACTTCGAAGGAAACAAGAATGTCTTTGTTCGTGGATCGCGTGACCTCCCACTGAAAACTATGCTAATTTCCACTTGTATTGGTTTCTTAGTTACTGGTGACATACACCCAGTGATGCAGAGAATAACTTGCAAAGATATCGATAGCAGGGTCTCTGTTTGGGCTTAAGCCCGACGATAGTCTTTTTGAAATTACAATGGCAAGTAACAATGGTATATCTGAAGAGGGCCGAGGTATTAAATAAATCGAAATTTATAATGGTAATAGGACCGTGAGGAGTCCAGTTCGGTCTGTTATCATACGAGTGATTAACAAAATCGGACGACCGCGAAACCGGAGTCCGATTTGTCAATCCCGCGTATGATTACAGAACTGGACGACAAGAAGTCCTGTTACCAATTAATCATAACCATTTCAATTTCCGAGAAAAGAAATACACCTAAAACAAATATCTCCAGTGGAGACGATGTCTTTAGTTAAAAAGAGACAGTCAAAGACTGCATGTGGCTACTGGTATGGCACAGTTTTTATTGCATTTAAAAGAACTTGAAAATGTATAATGACCCTAGAAGGTCGTTTTGCAGAATATTTGTCTCACAAGCAAAACACGCTTCCAGAAATATTAATGAGTACCCTGTTCCACAAAAGAAAGATGATTACCACAGCTGTCTCTATTTTTCCGAGGGTTTCAATGACGTAAACTTTTGTCTCAACGACCACTCCTTGGGAAGGCAACGGAATTGTTCTGACCAAATACGAGGAGAATAAACTAGCACGTTTTTGATCCAGCAAATCGTCTTTATATTTCGAGAAATCTAGACAAAGCAAACAGCAATATTCCACGCTATTTCAATGATTTATCAATACCAAGAAAGTAATTTAATAAAATATCTGTTGCTGAGGCCGTTTCCACGTACATTAAGCCCTAGAACTATCAGTGGGAAAATAAGGAAGCCCGATTCTTAACTTTCGTCTTTCGAAACGAAACAAATTCTACGTACACTGAAAACTATTACTCATTCAGTTTTCGAGGACTACAACCCAAGGCCGGTTCAAAAGCCTTTTTGAGAGCATCCAGTCATCAAGTTGAAGAGAAACAATAACTCTACCTATTTTTTTTTTACTATTTCACAGCTTTTAGAACTGAAATCAGATTTCTCACTAACCGGCCCGGGTTAATTATATCTTAAGCCAACTTTGAACAATTCGGCGCGGAAGTTTAATATTAAACTAACTTAAAGTAGTACTTATTTTCCAGCTGGCAGAATTAACGTCTGTTTCTCGTTCCTCACAGGTAGGTAGCACAAAACTGCGTCAATGTTAACCTTTCTAAGAGTTCTCCCATTCATCTAAAGGCACAGGAAAACACTAAAAATTGAGTTTTCTCCCTAGCGATTGATATTTTGGCACTAACAGTTGAGTTTTATCACTAGCGATTGATATTTTGGCACAAATGGCTCCCCATACTTTGTGACTTTTGCACTTATTGACTAAGTTTGGTCGGGCCGGTCCGGAAAATGTTTGGCTTAATGTCATGGCGTACAGACCTCGCTGCGCTCGGTCTATAGGCCATGACAGAGAGCCAAATATTTTTCCCGTCCGGCCCGACCAAACTTAGTCAATGAGTATTTTATCATATGACCACTAATTGTTTAAATTTCGAAAATTTTGTTTCAAACTAAATATGACGCGATAGACGGGCGCTCGAGGGACAATAAAAAAGATTCTACAATAAAAAGTTTTCCTTTGCTTTTTCGAGTCAGAACAGTAAAACCACAACTCATCGAAAAACCGCGAGTTTTTACACTCTTTCCTTCTTTTTCTTCAAGTTTTTGCAGCAAAGCTGCGTGAGTGCAGGGCCGGACGGCTTTTTTCGGACCGGCTCATGTCGACCCGGCCCTACACACGTCAGCCTTCACTGTGATTTTTTTTTTTGGGGGGGGGGGGGTATTACGCGTGCGGGGCTTTACAGGTCTTATGATGACTATTATGCACAAGCAAAGTTGTGAAAAATTGGTGAATGTCTTCAACAGTAGTATTCTCTACTGACTGACAGCAGACTCTAAAAGAATGGAATATTCGGTAAACGTAACAAAGCTGGTTCAACTTCTGTCATCTATCTCTGATTTTTGGTCGATGGTTTGTTTGTCGTCATGTTAGACAACTTCTATCTGTAAGTTAATTGACTGTCATCGGAAGTGTCTGACAGCTTACAGGTTCTTACTGATCGTTGATGTGTTGGTCAAATGTTATTAAGTTGTTAGCTGACAGTTTACCAACAGTCAGTAAAGGGGGGCTCTTATAGCTTTTAGCCAACATTTGGCATTAAATTTCTTACTTACAGACTCGCAATTCTGTATTTTAGGACTTAGCTGGCAAGCAGTTGATTCCCCTGACAAGTTTGGTTTATCACCACTCATGATTGCAGGTAACACAATCCACTGCTAATTACTGACACAATAGCTTAAACTAAAACTATGACATGGTTTTGATGATAAATTGTTCGGTGTTTCCGTCACATTTTCACAATCATAAATTAGAAAAATTTAAATTTAACTTACTTAATTTGGTACCATCTATAACCAGTTCTATTTGATGGAAAATAAATCAGGAATTTATTCTTCACTATGACATATTCTGCTGCCTATGAACACTTCTTTTCAAACTTCTTGTTAGCTGCATCTGTCACAAACTGTTATACCAGCTAACTATGAACTATTACTTTTTCTCAATCAGCTTTAGCTTCGTCCTCTTTTTTTAGGTTTTTCTCACCAGATCTGCGAGCTTTGCAGGGTTGTTAGTTTCCCACCTGGGCGGTGGTAACATATCGAAATTAAATTGTTTTTTCCAATGGTATTTTAGCCCAAAAAGGTTATGTAGACGTGGCACGAGTTTTGCTGGAAACTTACGCAGATGTGAACTTTCAAAGCAGCAGTGGAAAAACAGCCTTGATGATGGCTTGTTTGCGAGGATCGAACATCAGCTGTTTCTATTTTCGTGGTAGGATGCTGTGCCAGGTGATCATAAGTCACAGAGAAATTTTGATATGCAATGCTATTTACGAAGTTTATGTTTGACAAGAGTTCTGTATGCAACAAGGATTATCAATGTCGCCAGCATCTTGTGTGAACAATAAGAACGATGACTAATTTTGAGCTTGCCTACGAATATACCCCTAACGATTTTGCAAAGAATTTGATTTAGGAACTTGTGGCACAAAGTACCTGTGTTCGGTGGTGAGGTTTCAATTCTATAACCGTAGATTGCCAAATTTCGACGAGCAATTCTCATTCATAGGTAAAACGAACATCCACTGGCGCATTGCAGATTTTTCTCTGCTCGAAAATGCTTGTTTATGAGATATTTAAATTAGATATTTATGTCTGTCTCTAATGCTTTGCAATAATTTTTCGTAGGCTGGACTCCTCTGATGAGAGTAGCCGCTGTGAGCGGTAATGTGAACGTTGCCAAGGCTTTGAAGCGCTTGTTAAGCTTCTCGTTAAAAAGGGTGTCCCTGTCAAGCTGAAATCAGAGCACGGCAAAACGGCGCTGGATTTTGCCAGGTCTTTTGAACACGAAAGGGTGACTCACTTTCTGCAAGAGCATGTAGAGGCTTTGAGGAAGGCTGACAACGAACGCAAATTGGCTGAAGCGAAGGAAAGAAGGCACAGCCGGGAGCGGATTGATAGTCATGGCTTAAAATCCGTTACAAACGGTGCACAGAATGGAACATCAGAGGCGGTTGTGTCGTAACTGATGTTTGAAACAAAAACGGTTTAAAGTCATGAGATGTTAAATTTAGTTATCATCAATCCCGGTTCATATGTAACCCTTCAGCTCCTGGAAGAGTTAAACTTGTAACTTCTCCCTATAATATCCATGCATTAATCAAACAAGTTTTGAAAATTCTCGAAATTATCAGATATAATTTGTTGCCTTTATCTCCACCAAATCATATTTAATAATCTACAAGGAAATGTGCAGCAGCTAGAGGGGAGAATCTAGAATCAGATCTTGGGAGTTGAAGGGTTGACGGTTCTGTGTGGGTCAATTTTAAAACTTCAATGGGATTTTTAATACCTGCCTCGACCAAAATCGCCCGTTACTGTTTGCGACAGCCTTTCTATTGATTTCAAAAGGTTATTTGAAGTTTACTTTCACGGTTTAAAAGTTTACACAGACAATTGAGTATACCGTGTACGACAACCATTCTATTGTTCCAAAATGTGATGAAGTTAATTTCACGGTTTTTAAGTTTGTACAGACAATTGAGTCAAATACTTATTAATATATTTCATCTTAAATTTATTTAATTCCTGTGATGAAAGCTAACAAATATGCTACCCGTAATTTGTTGAATTTCAGACAGAAATAAAAAGTTTTAATTAATCAAGAATAGTATAATTTTTTTGTATTACTCATCTTGGCTGGCAAATCCCCACAATCCAGCCATGAGCCCGCATTCGTGAACACTGATTAGAGATCAGCGAAGGGACATGAGACGGAGAGGTGTAGTGGATTGGGTGCGGTGGGGGAAGGAGGACCTTGTCATTGGCTTCCCTCTTGGTTTGAGTCTCTTTCTTTCTGTGGAATCCTCTTGTCGGCATCCGGTTAAGAAATTTGACCAAAAAAATGGAGAATGTCACGTTTGGAAAAAACAGGCCAACAATTTCAACACTACATCTCTGCTGACTGATGCTTCCAAACATTTCATGTTTGCATAAACCAACGATGTAATACAAGGTGACCGCTGGACACGTAGCTACTTAGTGCAGATTCGACCGTACACTGAAACAGTGTGTTAACACAGCTCAAAAATGTGATTTTAACTCATTTATTCCTGCAATAATAGCAATATTTTCGAGTAAAAAATTCTAAGATGATCTTTAAAGCATTTGACGTGATGCTTTCGTCTTTCAATCCCATTATTTCCTGGTTGGACTCTTTCATTCAATTAGTAAAAATGGCGTAGAAATAATCAGTGCAAGCAACAAGCACTATACGATGAACTGAAAAGAAGTCTTCGTCGACTTTTTAATCGAACGTCGATAAATTGACCTTCTTCTCTGAACAGAGCGCATTTGCAATGGAGAATCTCAGATAATGTAACAATTTTGCAAGACGACCGATGCTGAAAACAATATATTGCGTGATCAAATATCTACAACGGTCACGCAAACACCTTCAAGTTACGAGGGGGAGGGGGAAGGGTTGAAATTTACAAGGGAGATGATAGGTATTTTCAAATGGTGAAGTTAAGTTAAAATTTCCAACGAGCAATGTCTCTTTTTCCGAAGAAAGGGAAAAGATCTGTTTTTTGCTTTGGAAATCCTCAAAATGTAGGATTGGCAAGCATAACAGATGATTGTAATACACTGACAGAGTTTTCAGTTTTTTCAGATTTTTTTAGAACAAAAAAAAGGGCGTAGTTATAGCTAAGAGAACTCCTGGAAAATCTATAAAATCAACTCGCCGTCTACGTAAATCGACTCCTTTGGAGCGCGAGCACTCTCTTCAATGTGTTTCTCTTTCATTGTTAATCATTCATTGTTAACGTCTATTGAGTGAAAAATAACCTTCTAGCGATAAACTCAACAACTTTATTGGGTAATTAGTAAATATTACAAGGTACAATAAAAGCGATCAGAGCGTTAAAGTATCATACTCATAAGCCTTTGCAAAACTGAGATCACTTTAATTTTTGATCCGTTGGCCTTTGCCAGTTTTCAATTTTCTCCGGAGGAATTCTAATACCACTGTCAATTGGAAAATTGTTAATTAAGAAATACACTCTCCTCTCAATTTCAAACGCACCTAAGTTGTTGGGCGGGATACGTTTCTGCTCCACAACAGACCAGGTGTCCTTACGTTTGTCATACAATTCCACAGATGGATGGGCCCCCAATTCCACAGCTAGATAGCTCATAGCTCAAGTTTTCTTTCTTGACAGGCAAATAACACAAAACTGCGTTTTTACTTACTTTTGCCAAGTTTTCCCATTCACCTAAGTGGACAGGAAAATTTTCCTCCGGAGGAATTCTAATACCACTGTCAATAGGAAAATTGTTAATTAAGAAATACACCCTCCTTTCAATTTCAAACGCACCTAAGTTGTTGGGCGGGATACGTTTCTGCTCCACAACAGACCAGGTGTCCTTACGTTTGTCATACAATTCCACAGGTGGACACCACCCTGAAAAATATCTGCTTGAATTGGAACCCCCCGCCACACATAGTCTGTTATTGACTACAAAAATACTAGCCCCAAAATGAGGATGGCAGGTCGAAGCTTTACGTTCCCATTCATTTTTCTCTGGGTCAAAACAATGAACTACCGCTGGTTTGTCGGTAGATTCCATAAAACTGAAATCCTGTTCGTAAAAGCCATGAATTACATATATTTTACAATTCATTACCGTCGCCGCAACAGAATGGAAAATTCCTCCAACTTCGAAAGAATTCAACCATTCCCCAGCTTGCCAAATGTCATTGCTCAAATCGTACCTTTGGGGAGGATTTGATTGAGTAATGACATACAAATATTCACTGACTGAGCATAAGCAGATTTTAGGCGGGCTGTGCAATTCGTCTTTGCGTTCCCTTATATCATTCAACTTTGGAAGTTTCTCCCACGTGTTATTTAATATATGATAACGGTATACAACATATTCGTGGCACTCCTGTTGCTGTTGCACCTCTGTGACTACATACAGGTAATTTCCAATCAGTTCTGCAGAATAACATAAATCAGTTATTTCACCCAGCTGAGCAACCGATGCCAAAGGCTTCCACAATTTGGTGTCAACATCAAAATATTGAGCCAAGGAGTCTTCGGACTGATGACAGGGGAAAGTCGAGCACTTGGTGTTTGCCGCTTTCTCCTCTATTTTGCCTCCGGTCTCTCGATCCTTTACAAATGTTTCACTCCTTAAATCTCGAGTAGGATGGATGGCCACGAGAACCTGAAATAAAAAAAAAACTTGGAATGAAAATGACCTCGTTGACGCACGCAAGTGATACCGAAATCATTATGCTGGACGAGGCTTTGGTTAAAGCTGGGAACAAAATGATATAATGGTTAAACTTTCAGTGTTTCATTCCAAAAGATCGCTCCATAATCGGTTAACTTGGAATCCATAGTTATTGACTGAAGAAATCCTAGTCGGTAACGTCTAGAGTTTGACCCCAACGGTTTTTCTAGGAAGGAAATGCACGGATGCGCGTAATATTTATTCATCTCAAACCACAGTGGTAGCAGCGAGGCAAATGAAAATACATGCACAAGAGGAAAAACCGTTCATTGCAAACCTTAAAAGCTCTGTCATTGCGAAGAATCATCGTCAAATGGATAAATTTAGTTGTAGTATTTTGCAATGGAGCAAGTGTGTTACGAATTTGAATAAGAAATCCACAGGACTCATGTGGTAGGCAGAGCGACTTGATTACATTACCCGATCGCCTGTTTAAAGAGAGTGTAACTCAAAAAACCGATTAAAACTCTGAATAAGGTAACCTAACAATTTCTCCTAGAAAGGGAAGATCTTTCATGCATTACATTAACGCTCACGGCCGAGAAGATCTCATATTTTCTCCACCGACACAATCGGAAATATTGGGCAACAATAATGAGACTAAGTCACAACGTCAAGAGAGTCTATGAAACCGGGCTCTCCTTAGTCGAGTGAACGGGGTATGCCATGAACAACAAATGCAATTTTTACATAAACAGACAAATATAAAATGACTTGAATTAAATTCTTACCGGACACATCGATCTTGGTTTCATTTTCTCTGCAGCAAATTCATGTGAAGGCATATAGTGATGCATCATGGATTCTTGCAGATGTATGTTAACCCCGGGAACTCGCTGCATTTCTTCTGTTTTCAACTCCTCAATCACAATCTTCACGTCTACCAGTCCCAGACGAACAGCTCCGATAACTTTTCCAGCAACTGGCATCCTCTCTTCCCCTTTGTATTTGATCCACTTCATCACTGATTTGAAGACGAAAGCTTCAGAGGGTGAATTGAGATCATCTCGACCAAGAAGGCTGTGTAGTTGATCTGCATTTATATGAGTAAGGAATTCTTTACTTTCGCAAACATCTTTGTAAATGGATGCCATCTTGGCCTCTGCGGCCTCTTGCAGATCTCTCAGACCGAGTCTTTCGGCGACTGCACACAGCACGGAGTAGTTCTTCAGGTCAATTCCGTTTTCTATGAATTCCTTCTTTACGAAATCACAACACAGTTGAACAACACTCGCGATTTGAAGCTGACTAGCTGTGAGAAGAACCTCAAATACGCTCTTCTGGTTGACATGAAGATTGCCAGTGTAGATGGAGTCCATAACGATATTGAATATCGCCGGTGAAATGCTTTTATCTTTCAGTTCGATCACTTCCTGGTTCGCTTCTTTCCCATCGGTAAATATGGCGCGGAAATAATCGCTATACGACGCAAGAACAACTCGGTGAGCTGGGAAAAGTGTATCACCCACTTTTAAACGTACGTCGATAAATTCACCTTCTCTACGGAACTCGGAACACTTAGAGAGAAGAATTCTAGAATGGGCTACCATCTTGATGCTATTTCAACTAGCGGAGATCTATGCTTGTAGAAACTTCGAAGGAAACGAGAATGTCTTTGTTCGTGGATCGCTTGACCTCCCACTGAAAACTATGCTAATTTCCACTTGTATTGGTTGCTTAGTTACTGGTGACATACGCCCAGTGATGCAGAGATTAACTTGCAAAGATATCGATAGCAGGGTCTCTGTTTGGGCTTAAGCCCGACGATAGTCTTTTTGAAATTACAAAAAACTGTGATCAGATTCCTTTATGGGAAAGAAGAACCTTCTAAAACTTGGCTGGCTCTCAACATCTGTCTTTGTAGCTCATTTGGTTAAGTAGCATTCACTTAGTATCTGAGAGGCAAGGTTTCAAATCCTGTCCAAGCCCGAATTGTTTTGGGCTTCCTTCTGCTTATTCTTGCAAGGATGATGTCAGTGTCAGTCTTTTTTTACTCTTTACGGTGGCTAAAATCTGAAGAGGGCCGAGGTGTTAAATAAATTTAAATTTATAATGGTAATAGGACCGAGAGGAGTCCAATTCGGTCTGTAATCATACAAGTGATTAACAAAATCGGACGACCGCGAAACGGGAGTTCGATTTGTCAATCACGCGTATGATTACAGACAGAACTGAGCGACGAGAAGTCCTGTTACCGATTAATCATAACCATTTAAATTTCCGGGAAAACAAATACACCTAGAAAAAATATCTCCAGTGGAAATGATGTCTTGTTTCAAACTAAATATGACGCGATAGACGGGCGCTCGCGGGACAATAAGAAAGATTCTACAATAAAAAGTTTTCCTTTGCTTTTTCGAGTCAGAACAGTAAAACCACAACTCATCGAAAAACCGCGACTTTTTTCACTCTTTTCTTCTTTTTCTTTAAGTTTTTGCAGCAAAGCTGCGTGAATGCAGGGCCGGACGGCTTTTTTAGGACCGGCTCACGTCAACCCGGCCCTACACACGTCAGCGTTCACTGTGGTTTTCTTTTGGGGGGAGGGAGGGATATTACGCGTGCGGGGCTTTACAGGTCTTATGATGACTATTATGCACAAGCAAAGTTGTGAAGAATTCGTCAATGTCTTCAACAGTAGTATTCTATACTGACTGACAGCAGACTCTAAAAGAATGGAATATTCGGTAAACGTAACAAAGCTGGTTCAACTTCTGTCATCTATCTCTGATTTTTGGTCGATGGTTTGTTTGTCGTCTGTCAGCCAACTTCTATCTGTAAGTTAACTGACTGTCATCGGACGTGTCTGACAGCTTACAGGTTCTTACTGATCGTTGATGTGTTGGTCAAATGTTACTAAGTTGTTAGCTGACAGTTTACCAACAGTCAGTAAAGGGGGGCTCTTGTTAGCTTTTAGCCAAAATTTGGCATTAAATTCTGTATTTTAGGACTTAGCTGGCAAGCAGTTGATTCCCCCGACAAGTTTGGTTTATCACAACTCATGATTGCAGGTAACACAATCCACCGCTAATTACTGACACAATAGCTTAAACTAAAACTATGACATGGTTTTGATGATAAATTGTTCGATGTTTCCATCACATTGTCACAATCATATATTAGAAAAATTCCAAGTTAAATGAACTGTATAACGTACTTAATTTGGTACCATCTACAACCAGTTCTGTTTGATTGAAAATATTTGAGGAATTTATTCTTCACTGTGACATATTCTACTGCCTATGAATACTTCTTTTCAAAATTCCTGTTGGCTGCATCTGTCACAAATTGTTATACCAGCTAACTATGAACTATTATTTCTTCTCAATCAGCTTTAGCTTCGTCCTCTTTTTTAGGTTTTTCTCACCAGATCTGTAAGCTTTGCAGGGTTGTTAGTTTCCCACCTGGGCAGTGGTAACATATCGAAATTAAATTGTTTTTTCCAATGGTATTTTAGCCCAAAAAGGTTATGTAGACGTGGCACGAGTTTTGCTGGAAACTGGCGCAGATGTGAACTTTCAAAGCAGCAGTGGAAAAACAGCCTTGATGATGGCTTGCTTCTCAGGTTTATAACTAGTGTTATTATATGTCCTAAGTTAGTTAGTACGAGGCCTTATTTCACTGTACGGCCTACGAATTTATTGCTCGAGGGCCCAGTCAATAACTTACAGGACGGGCAGTTCATAACGTACAGTACGGGCGTCGCACTCGGTTAGTAAGAGCTTTCGCCAAAGGTCCAATCTTTGTAAAAGAAGATTTTGAAACTTGACAGAAAATGTTTTTACTTAGATACTATGTCAAAAAATCTAGTCATCTCCCCATGTAGTGTGATCTGTAATTATTTCTCTTGGTCCTGATGATCGCTTTTTGCTTTGCGGTTTCTAGTTGAACTGTGGCTCTCAAGGCCTCTCAAGGCTTTCATCTCTAGACACTGGTCAAAAGGCAAACCAACCTCTGTACACGTAAGAGGGTTCTTCTGTTAATTCGTAGAGTAGATTTTGTTTTTCTCCACACCCATTTGTACTTGATTTTGTTGCGTGATTAAGATTTCCTTCGTGCCGAAGCAAAGAATCAGTGAAGTTCGCCCAAATGTTGGCTAGGAATGATATACTTTAGTCAATTCTATTTCTCTGTTGCCTGTATGTAACTGGAAGGCAAATGCGTTGATATGATCTCGTGACTCCCGTGAAAAACGTATCCGAATTAAAATCATAATGGTCAAAATCTATACGTTTAAGCTTACAAAGCTGCTTTTAAATAACTTGAAAGTTTTGGACTACAACAAAGTTTGTTTTGACTTGTCTCATATTGGCAAATATTAATCGAGTTATCGGGGTAAGACTTTATAGAAATTGTCCGGAAGGGAAAAGACTGTTGCTCCGAGCTCACCGAAAGTTCGAGTTCTGCAGGGTTCGAGTTATCGAGAGTAAAATTGGAGTAATTGTATCCGAATAGAAACGCAGAAGATATCGATTGTGGTTCGAGTTCACGTGATGTGCGAGTCAGCTATGGTTTAAACCTTTGAACCCTAAGAGTGACTGGCATCTAATTTCTCCTTACAATATCACCCCTGAATCAAATATTTAAGTCACAAGAACAAAGGAAATGATCAACGACTAAAGAAGCTCTTGATTGTTAAACAGATTCTCCTTGTCAGCACCTTAAGAAATGTATAGAGTACAGTATGGAGAATAGTGAAATTATCTGGTGTTGACTTTCATTGGCCTGGGTAGTTCCAATTTGGACATTCTTACGTTCTCTAAAACACTTCTGTTCATGTCATTTCTTATAAACTCTTGCGGGAAATGTGGAGGTTGCGCAGCTGTTAAAACAACATAAGGCTGAATGGGATTTAGTGGACAGGACAGGTTCAACAGCTCTTCACTGGGCGGTAGACGGAGCTAATTTGGATATGATCCGCTGGATGCTTCAAGATGGCTGCCGAGTGGACGTCAAAGACGAAACGTCAGGTGATTCTATAACTGTTGTAAAGCACGCAGGAAGCGGCTAGAAGGGAAAAAGTGTAGGAGGAAGAACGAGGCATAGTCGAGGTCGAGTGTTGTGGCGTCTCTAGTACTCAATCCAATCCCTAAGATAACGATGCAGATCTTGAAGAACATTTGATACGCAGCTAAAATTTGGCAAAGATATTCTAAATCACTGCTTTGGTATACTCCCCTGATGAATTATAAAAAGAAAAATTATTTCATTGTCGAATGCGTTTATTACAAAAAAGTATGTATAAAAATTTGTCGTGAGTGTTGGACAAAGAAAGAATCTGGGTCCTTACTAGGATCCGAGTATCGAACATCAGCTATTTCTATTTTCGTGGTAGGATGCTGTGCCAACTAATCATAAGTCACAGAGAAATCTTGATGTGCAATGCTATTTACGAAGTTCATGTTTGATAAGAGTTCTGTATGCAACAAGGATTATCAATGTCGCCAGCACCTTGTGTGAACAATAAGAATGATGGTTAATTTTGAGCTTGCCCACGAATACACCCCTTATGGTTTTGTGAAAAATTTGATTTAGGAACTTGTAACAAAGTACGTGTGTGCGGCGAGGTTTCAATTATATAACCGTAGATTGCCAAGTTTCGACGAGCAATTCTCATTCGTAAGTATAACGAACATCCACTGGCAAATTGCAGATTTTTCTCTGCTCGAAAATGTTTGTTTATGAGATAATTATATCAGAGATTTATGTCTGTCTCTAATGCTTTTCAATAATTTTTCGTAGGCTGGACTCCTCTGATGAGAGTAGCCGCTGTGAGCGGTAATGTGAACGTTGCCAAGGTACTAATACATCATGGAGCTAATGTGCATACAATGGACAAAGAAGGGAAAACGACTCTGATGAACGCTACACTTAATGGCTTTGAAGCGCTTGTTAAGCTTCTCGTCAAGAAGAGTGTCCCTGTCAAGCTGAAATCAGAGCACGACAAAACGGCGCTGGATTTTGCCAGGTCTTTTGAACACGAAAGGGTGACTCACTTTCTGCAAGAGCATGTAGAGGCTTTGAGGAAGGCTGACAACGAACGCAAATTGGGTGAAGCGAAGGAAAGAAGGCACAGCCGAGAGCGGATTGAAAGTCATGGCTTAAAATCTGTTACAAACGGTGCACAGAATAGAACATCAGAGTCGGTTGTGTCGTAACTGATGTTTGTAACAAAAACGGTTGGGATGGGATGTTAAATTTAGTTATTACTATCCCCAGTTCATGAGTAACCCTTCAGCTCCTGGAAGAGTTAAACTTGTAACTTTTCCCTATGATATCCATGCATTAATCAAACAGGTTTTGAAAATTCTCGAAATTATCAGATATAAGTTGTTGCCTTTATCTACCACCAAATCATTTTCAATAATTTACAAGGAAATGTGCAGCAGCTAGAGGGGAGAATCGAGAATCAGATCTTGGGAGTTAAAGGGTTGACGGTTCTGTGTGGGTCAATTATAAAATGTCAGTAGGATTTTTAATACCTGCCTCGATTAAAATCGCCTGTTACCGTTAGCAAACATCCCTTCATTGTTCCAAAAGGTTATTTGAAGTTTACTTTCACGGTTTCAAAGTTTATACAGACAATTGAGTAGACCGTGTACGACAACCATTGTATTGTTCCAAAATGTGATGAAGTTAATTTCACGGTTTTAAAGTTTGTACAGACAATTGAGTCAAATACTTGTTAATATATTTCATCTTAAATTTATTTAATTCCTGTGATGAAAGCGAACTTCGTCAAAGCTTTTATTGGTAGACGCAAATATGCTACTCCGTAATTTGCTGAATTTCAGACAAAAATAAAAGGTTTTAATTAATCAAGAATAGCATAATTTTTTGTATTAGTCATCTTGGCTGGCAAATCCCCACGATTCAGTCATGAGCCCGCATTCCAGGTACTCTTGAACGCTGATTAGAGATCAGCGAAGGGAAATGAGACGGAGAGGAGTGGTGGAATTGGGAGGGGGGGCGGGGGGAGAAGGGGGACCTTGTCATTAGCTTCCCTCTCGGTTTGAGTCTCTTTCTTCCTGTGGAATCCTCCTGTCGACATCCGGTTAAGAAATTTGATAAAAAAAAATGGAGAATGCCTCGATTGGAAAAACAGGCCAACAATTTCAACACTACATCTCTGCAGACTGATACTTCCAAACTTTTCATGTTTGCATAAACCGACCGCGTAATACAGGGTGACCACTTAACACGGTGCCACAGTACACATTCGAGTGTACACCAAAACAGTGTGTTAACATAGCTCAAAAATGTGATTTTAACTCATTTATTCCTGGAACGCTTACAACATTTTCGAGTACAAAATTCTAAGATGATCTTTAAAGCATTTGACGTGATACTTTCGTCTTTCGATTTGGTTGTTTCCTGGGTGGACTCCTTCATTCCATTTGTAAACATGGCGTAGAAATAATCACTACACGCAGCCAGCACTATAGGAGGGACTGGAAAGGCGTCTTCGTCGACTTTTAATCGAACGTCGATGAATTGACCTTCGTCTCTGAACAGAGCGCATTTGCAATGGAGAGTCTCAGATAATGCAACCATTTTGCAAGGCGACCGATGCTGAAAACGGTACATTGCGTGATCAAATAACTACAACGGTCACGCAAACACCTTCAAGTTATGAGGGGGAGGGAGAAGGGTTGAATCTTACAAGGGAGATGATAGGTATTTTCAAATGGTGAAGTTAAGTTAAAATTTTGAACGAGCAATGTCTCTTTTTTCGAAGAAAGGAAAAAGATCTGTTTTTTGCTTTGGAAATTCTCAAAATGTAGGATTGGGCAAACAAAACAGATGATTGTAATACACTGACAGAGTTTTCAGTTTTTCAGATGTTTTTAGAAAAAACAAAAAAGGCGTAGTTCTAGCTTAGAGAGCTCCTGGAAAATCATTAAAATCAACTCGCCGTTTAAGTGACCCGACTTCTCTGGAGCGCGAGCACTCTCTTCTATGTGTTTCTCTTTCATTGTTAATCATTCATTGTTAACACCTATTGAGTGAAAAATAACCTTTTATCGATAAACTCAACAACTTTATTAGGCAATTAGTTAATATTACAAGGTACAATGAAATCGATCAGAGCGTTAAAGTATCATAGTCACTAAGCCTTTGCAAAACTGAGATCACTTTAAGTTACGATCTCTTGGCCTTTGCCAGTTTTCAATTTGCATGCTTAGTACGCGTTTAAAAAATTATCTAAGAAAGTCGATATACTTTTTTCTACAGCACTTCGATGAGCCATACTCATAAACTACAGCTTTATTTCATGACTCCTCCTCACTTCTCTCGATGCTGTCCAAAAAGTTTTACTCAATTTATGTATCGTATTGAAAACCAAATTATGTTTTCATGTGCCGTACTTTTAGCTAATATGGAACACAAACTACACAATAAACTATTTTATCGTACATCTATTAACACCCCTTTGAAACAACAGTGAATTTTAATGGTGAGTGTTGAGTACCATAATATAGCTTTTCAGTAAACTACATTGAAACAAGTTTCTAGACCTCTTTCTTTACCATTCCATGCATTAACTGATTTTTATATGCGTGAAATTTTTACCTCAGAGTTGTCACTGCTTTCTTTATCTTAAGTTTTCTTTCTTGACAGGTAAATAACACAAGACTGCGTTTTCACTTACTTTTGCTAAGTTTTCCCATTCACCTAAGTGGACAGGATAATTTTCCTCCGGAGGAATTCTAATACCACTGTCAATAGGAAAATTGTTAATTAAGAAATACACCCTCCTTTCAATTTCAAACGCACCTAAGTCGTTGTGCGGGATATGTTTCTGCTCCACAACAGACCAGGTGTCCTTACGTTTGTCATACAATTCCACAGGTGAAACTCCTCTTGAATTGAAACCCCCTGCCACACATAGTCTGTTATTGACTACAAAAATACTAGACCCAAAATGAGGATGGCAGGTCGAAGCTTTACGTTCCCATTCATTTTTCTCTGGGTCAAAACAATGCACTACCGCTGGTTTGTCGACGTTCTCACGATCTTTACAACCATGAATTACATATATTTTACAATTCATTACTGTCGCCGCAACAGATTGGAAAAATCCTTCATGTTGGGGAAAATTCAACTTTTCCCCAGCTTGCCAAACGTTATTGCTCAAATCGTACCTTTGGGGAGGATTTGATTGAGTAATGACATACAAATATTCACTGACTGAGCATAAGCAGATGTCAGGCGCGCTATACGGTTCGACATTCAACTCTGGAAGTTTCTCCCACGTGTTATTTAATATGTGATAACGGTATACCACATATGTAGGGAACATCAATTGCTGATGCGCCTCTGTGAGTACATACAGGTAATTTCCGATTAATTCTGCAGAATAACATCTATTAGTTATTTCACTCAGCTGAGCAACCGATGCCAAAGGCTTCCACAATTTGGTGTCAACATCAAAATATTGAGCCAAAGCCTCTTTGGACTGATGACAAGGGAAAGTCAAGCACTTGGTGCTTACCGCTTTCTCCTCTACTTTGCCTCTGGTCATTCGCTCATTTGCAAATGTTTCGCTCCTTAAATCTCGAGTGGGATGGATGGCCACGAGAATCTGAAAAAAAACACTTAGAATGAAAATGACCTCGTTGACGCACGCAAGTGATACCGAAATCATTATGCTTTACGAGGCTTTGGCTAAAGCTGGGAACAAAATGATATGATTGTTAAACTTTCAGTGGTCCATTGTAAAAGATCGCTCCATGATCAGTTAGCTTGGAATCAATAAATAAAACAAAGATATCCTAGTCTGTAACGTCTAGAGTTTGACTCCAACGGTTTTTTAGAAAAAAAAATACTTTACACTCTCAAGAAAACGGAAGCCTGTATACTTATTCATCGCAAACCACTGTGGTAGCGGCGAGGCACATGAAATACATGCACAAGAGGAAAGACCGCTCATTGCAAACCTTAAAAGCCCTGACATTGTTAAGAATCATCATCAAATGGATAAATTTAGTTGTAATATTTTGCAATGGAGAAAGTGTGCTACGAATTTAAATATGAAATTTTTCGTCTCCATCCACAGAACACACGTGGTAGGCAGAGTGACTTGATGGCATTACCCGATCGCCGGTTTAAAGAGAGTGTAACACAAAAAACCCGATTAAAACTCTGAATAAGGTAACCTAACAATTTCTCTTAAAAAGGGAAGATCTTTCACGCATTACATTAATGCTCACGGCCGAGAAGATTTTCTCCACCAACATTGGGCAACAATAAACTAAGTCAGAAGGTCAAGAGAGTCTATGAAACCGGGCTCTCCTTTGTCGAGTGAAGAAGGTACGCCATGAACAATGAATGCAATTTTTGTATAAACAGACAAATGCAAGATGACTTTAATTAAATTCTTACCGGACGCATTGATCTTGGTTTCATTTTCTCTTCAGCAAATTCATGTGAAGGCATGCAGTGATGCATCATGGATTCTTGCAGATGTATGTTTACCTCGGGAACTCGCTGCATTTCTTCTGTTTTCAACTCTTTAATCACAATCTTCACGTCTACTAGCCCCAGACGAACAGCTCCGATAACTTTCCCAGCAACTGGCATCCTCTCTTCCCCTTTGTATCTGATCCACTTCATCACTGATTTGAAGACGAAAGCTTCAGAGGGTGAATTGAGATCATCTCGACCAAGAAGGCTGAGTAATTGATCTGCACTGATATGAGTAAGGAATTCTTTACTTTCGCAAACATCTTTGTAAATGGATGCCATCTTGGCCTCTGCGGCCTCTTGCAGATCTGTCAGACCGAGTCTTTCGGCGACTGCACACAGCATGGAGTAGTTCTTCAGGTCAATTCCGTTTTCTATGAACTCCTTCTTTAGGAAATCACAACAAAGTTCAACAACACACGCGATTTGAAGCTGACTAGCTGTGAGAAGAACCTCAAATACGCTCTTCTGGTTGACATGAAGGTCACCACTGTAGATGAAGTCCATAATGATCTTGAATATCTCCGGTGAAATTCTTTTTTCGTTCAGTTCGATCAGTTCCTGGTTCGCTTCTTTCCCATCAGTAAATATGGCGCGGAAATAATCGCTATACGACGCAAGAACAACTCGGTGAGCTGGGAAAAGTGTATCACCCACTTTTAAACGTACGTCGATAAATTCACCTTCTCTACGGAACTCGGAACACTTAGAGAGAAGAATTCTAGAATGGGCCACCATCTTTATGCTGTTTCAATTAGTGGAGATCTATGCTTGTAGAAACTTCGAAGGAAACGAGAATGTGTTTGTTCATGGATCGCGTGACCTCCCACTGACTAGCGGTGAGAAGAACCTGAAAACTAATTTTCATTTGGCAAGTGACAATGGTATATCTGAAGAGGGCCGAGGTGTTAAATAAATCAAAATTTGTTAAACCCGAGGAGGCACCTTGGTGTAATATAGAGGACAGAAGAGAGAATACGCCCAGAAAAAATCTCGATACAGCACGGCCGCAAGGTATCAACGTTTTTCCCGCAAATGGTCATATCGAAAAAGACACGCGCGCGAGGACTTTTAGGATCAGCGTCTGTTTGGTATAGCTTAGAAGAGAGAATGTAGGCCCGACGTTCTTCATATAAATTGTTCTCCAATTTTGTTAAAACTCACCCAAGTACAATCGTGAAGAACAAACAAATAACCACACAGGCATATCTTTGTACACTTGTAGTATTTTGAGATGCAAAATTACTAACACCAAAGTACTGAGCCGCAATTCCGTAACAGCATAACAGAAAAATTACACAACTGTAAACAACAAGCCCAACTCAAAAAAAAAAAAAAAGAAAATGGTACTGTAGGGCGGGGGCAGCTCTAGTGAGAACTATAACTAGTGGTAATAGGACCGTGAGGTGTCCAATTCGGTCTGTAATCATACGAGTGATCGACGAAATCAGATGATCGCGAGGTGGGAGTCCGATTTGTTAATCACGAGTATGATTACAGACAGAATTGGATGACAAGAAGTCCTGTTACCAAGTAATCATGATCATTTCAATTACCGAAAAAACAAATACACTTAGAACAAATGTCTCCAGTGGAGATGTCTGAAGTTAAAAATAGACAGTCAAAGACTGTGGCTACTGGTATGGCACAGTTTTCATTGCATTTAAAAGAACTAGAAGTTGTATAATGACCCTAGAAGGTCGTGATGCAGAATATTTGCCTCACAAGCAAAACAGAAAACCTGACGCTTCTAAAAACATTAATGAGTACCCTGTTCCACAAAAGAAAGATGATTGCCACAACTGTCTCAATTTTTTCCGAGGGTTTTAATGGCATAAACTTCTGTCTCAACACCCACCCCTTGGGAAGGCAACGGAATTGTTCTGACCAAATACGAGGAGAATAAACTAGCACGTTTTTGATCCAGCAAATCGTCTTTATTTTTTCGAGAAATCTGGACAAAGCAAACGGCATTATTCCACGCTATTTCAATGATTTATCAATACCAAGAAAGTAATTTAATAAAATATCTGTTACTGAGGCCCTTTCCACGTACATTAAGCCCCAGAACAATCAGTATGAAATGAGAAAGCCCGATTCTTAACTTTCGTCTTTCGAAATGAAACTCGAATTCTACGTACATTCCTGAAAACCATTACTCATTCAGTTTTCGAGGACTACAACCCAGGGCCGGTTCAAAAGCCTTTTTGAGAGCATCCGATCATCAAGTTGAGGACAAACAATAATTCTACCAATTTTTTTTATTATTTCACAGCTTTTAGAACTGAAATCAGATTTCTCACTAACCGGCCCCGGGTTATATCTTAAACCAACTTTGAACAATTCGGCGCTGAAGTTTAATATTAGACTAACTTAACGTTTTACTTATTTTCCAGCTGACAGAATTAACGTCAATAAATTTGATTCAGCGTTACTCTGCTGTAAAACTCTCGTTCCTCAAGGGTAGGTAGCACAAAACTGCGTCATTGTTAACCTTTCTAAGATTCTCCCATTCATCCTCCCATTCTTAATGCACAGGACAACACTAACAATTGAGTTTTATCATTAGCGATTGATAGTTTAGCACTAACAGTTGAGTTTTATCACTAACGATTGATATTTTTGGCACAAATGGCTCCCCATACTTTTGTGACACACTTCTACTTAACTACCATTTAATACAGTCCTCGGTTTGCAATGTGTTCTCAGTCTTGTAATCAAAGAGGAAAAGATTTTATTTCGAGTTATCAGACACTTTGAGTTAGTGTTTTTTTCAAGTTCATCAGGATAGGGTCACTAGTACCAACCCATCTAATTCAAATTTAAGTCTGTTATGATTGACACAGCTTTGTACAATTTTCTTCTAAATCACCAGGTAATTTTCTTTGAGTCACCCCCATGCAAAAACCTCTCCATTGCTTTCACATTGTAGTCCAAAATAAACACCCTTATTGGCTAAAGTGAGACCATGCTCCCATCAAAATGAGTGTATTATTTTTCAGAGCTCTTTTAAATGGCTGAGAAAATACCCTCCCCCTATTAGAGGTCTGAAAAGAATAAACAATTGTTCAGACTTTCTCACAGATCATTTTAGTGACGTTATGAAGAGACTATTTTGATGATTTATGTCCTGGTCCTATCAAGCATCTCAAAAGAAACTTACTATTCAATACAATTACAACTTGTTGTGGATCTTTAGTCCCCAGTACCCCAGCCCTTTAATTCTAATAGGTGGTGTTATCATTTTCACCCCCCTCAACTCATTTTTCCTTCATTATCTTTATTTTTTATCCTTTACATCCTAACATCAGTATGCAGTTTCTCCAAACCGGTATCTATACATTTGCTAACAAACCTGTCAAGGAGAATTTGTTTAACAATCAAGAGCTTCTTTGGTTGGGGATCATTTCCTTTATTCTCATGACCTTAATGTTTGATGAAGGGCTACTGTTGTAAGGAGAAATTAGATGCTGGTCACTCTCAAAGGTCAAATGGTGCAGAAAATCGTCAGTAATGGACTTTCAAGGTTAAGCTAGGTGTGAAAAAGGCTTTGATATTTCAGAGCTATTTATGTTTCAGTAAGTTTCTCCTTTCTATTCAACAGGAATGTTTTTGAAGGTCTGGAGGCTCGCACACAATACCGATACAGACTGAAGTGTATGAATGATTTTGGTTCAAGTGCCTGGAGTGCTGTTGTCACTGTGTCAACCACAAAGAAACCTCAAACCAGTGAAGATCTCCAGAGGGCTGTCATTAAGGGAGACTGACTTAGGCTTCTGCTTCCTGGAATGACGGTGTTACAAACGCTGGCGTTAAGTAGGGTAGAAGGTAGTGTTCTACAAGAATATCATCTGAACGCTCTGTTTTCTGGGCTCTACAAAAAGATGTCTTGGAGGATGCTTTCTTTCCATGGCTTTAGCATGATAGATTACCTTGTCCCTCTCTCCAAAAGATCGCACCATCTTTTTAGTTTAACCGAGTTGAATCTTGACTAGTTGCTCAAAGATGAATGTAAATTATGCAGTTTCCTGGAGAGCTTAAGATTTATTCCTTGTCTGCAACGCCTCAATTTAAATATTGAGGCTCAAAGTACCACCGACTGCTTCACAACGGAAGCCAACAAACTCGATTGTTTCATACTAACTTCCCTCACACATCTGAAGGGTGTATGCGTGACCCCAGTGTTTGCAAGGGTGTTTGGGCGTTCCCTTCTAGAAATGCCTTCGTTAGAGACCTTGGAGATAATCGGGATAGGTGGCATTCTGCGAGCCGAGTATATGGAGGCACTGTTTGGTGGGTTTACCAAAACAATGCCTTTGCGCTCCCTAACTTTTAACAATTTCAGCGTAAGATGATGTCTCGCTCCGCTTATTAGAAAGTTGCGTTTCTATCTCAACTTGGAAGATCTCGACCTCAAGATGCTAAACTTGGATTATCTTGACCTCTGTAGTGTCTTAGAAGCCCTTCGCTTGGTCCGTAGGTAAATCACACCGGAGTTTTCAAGTTGACCATTTGGTCTGGAAGTAATTCGTGTCGTACTACAACTCTTAAATCTGCTGATAGGGTGCTTAGTTGTCATTGATGAAACAGCTTCTGAAGACGTTTTGAAGGAAGTTAGAGAAGCCATCAAACAAACACAACCTGAAGTCTTCTTTCTAACTAACATTGTCGGAGACTGCGTTATTACTTGCGTGACGTTAATTTTGTCAACAACATTATCGTGGAGTTTCTAATTTGTACATGATTGACGTAACCTCGAATAACCTTTTTCATAGTGCTTAGCAACGATCAATCACAATGTAGAGAATGTAGTATAAGAATTAGGATCTCGTTTCAAGTTGCCAGAGTAGCTCTTTACACGCCTGCTGTAACTGAGTGAATACGCGAGAACGATTAAACAGTTAAACTCAGTCGAGTCTGTTGATTGAGTCCAGTACGTTAGAAGACCGGTTATCCCTAGTAAACGGGGCAAAGTTTACGAAAACATACCTAGTATAAACTTCAAGGTTTTTCGTCACTCCAATACGGCAGAAAACCAAGCCAGTAGGTAACTATCCATTTATTCCTAAGTTTGTATAAAAAAATGCAAAGAGAGATGAAAGACGTGGTGAGTTGATGGTGAGGGCGGTGAAATCAAGATCAAGACAAACGGCTTCAAACCCTAGCTGCATTGTTTGTGCTGTGTTTTTGGGAAAGAAACTTTTCTATACCAGTGCCTTTTATCGCCTAGGAGAAACGGTTTGTATTGCCCATGCGAAATTGCCCGGATTGTCAATTGAAAACAATTTTTTAGGCCAGCGCACGTGGTGCGTAACTTCTGGGTCACTTTTTTCTGTACCACCAAAGGTTTCTCGGGAATGTTTACAAGTATGAAGGCGAAAAACGTGGAGACCACACCTGGAAGACAGTCAAAACGGATTTGTAAACGGAAGTAAGAAGCTGAAGGAAGGGAACTCTGTTTTCAGAGACAGAGAAACAAATTTAAAGTGATAAGGTATAATTTATTGAAAGTTAAGAACTGAAGTGCTCCCGTTACTTGCGTGTATAGACGGACATATTAAAACAATGATTCTGATAATTTTCTATTTTCTTATTGGAAAGAACTGAAAGATATAATTTTGTCGCATTGATTAAGTTATGTATCCTTCTTAACGATCTAGTTTAGCTGCAAACGTCCGAAATCGTAAACATAAACAGTTTAGTAACAGGTAACCGAATTGACCGAAAAATACACCGTCGAGGCGTTCAAGGAGACTCCTAAAAAATTGTTGTAGTTTAAATTAAACAATACTAAACATTAATCACGCGGTTTAACAGTGTTTGTTCAGATGCAACACAAAAAGCTTGTCGGAATTTCGATGCCGAATATATTAATTAGTTTCAAATCCATGATAGCGAACGGTTGATAACCCTCTCAGAATATATGCTTGCCTTGTGCATTCCCAGCCGTGATTAAGAAAACTTTATACACAACAACAGGCTTTATTTGGATGTCTATAACAGGATATTTAAATATTGCAAAATCGGTTTCAACTCAACTACGCCTGAGCTCGTAAGAGGATCTGATGACCCATCAGGGTGAAAACATTTAGTTGTGACTTGTCTGTTTGTTCGTCCATCTTTATGTACGCAATTTCGGAATTGTGTTGCATAACTATGGAAGTTTCCTCTCGATTCACTTTAAAATTTTGGAGCTTCAGATGAAAAGTAGTTATGCTATAAAATTCTCAAATCTCTGAAAGGATACATGAAAGTCTAAGAGGAAACGAAATGAGCTTTCGAATTAAATTTTGCGAAACCCTGTAGAAAAATTTTTCAAGTCTTCACCAGTTTACAAGTTTATTAGAAGTTTTAAAATACAAAATAAGATGAACACTGCTCGCAGTTAGGTAGAGCTAGTCGAGGCGAGCAGTAGTTTAACGCAAGTAGAAAGTTTAACTTCAATCTAGCCAGAATACAACAATACACATTGGCAAAATGAAAACTACATTACAGAACTGACAAATACTTCAAAAATGATGTAAAAGGATCTTTTACAGTTGTTTATAAAAAAAATATTTGAACAAGTAGTAATTACTGTCAATTACAAAAAATAAGGAAGAAGAATACGTGACTAACCATACACATTTAAGACTTGAAAGAAACGAGATTATTTAAGATTATAGAGTACCTCTCTCCAGGCAAATATTTAGTGTTGATATGTTCTTTAAGCGGGATATAACCGAACAATCTTTGTTAACCCTTATCGTGCGGCTCCCGGAATATTCCGGGCGCACGTGTTCGTCCATGTGGACGGGTCCCGGAATATTCCGGGTTTCCGAACATCATTATTTTATTGGCGTAGAAGTTCGGAATATGTCGGGCTTAGGTAGGTTTACGGTCATGGGCCTACCAAAGGGACATAAATTAAGCATCCGACAGAGTTCCGAAGATCCGAGTAGAATAAAAGAATTAATTAGCATGAAATTAATTTTGTTGCGCGGTAAAACTGATAAACAAAGATGGCGGCCAATATTATATTTGTTGATGAAGGAACTATCGATGAAGTTGTTGGTGGAGAGGATAGCGATTTTGATGAAAACACGGATAATTCTGAAAGCAGCGAAGAAGAAGATGGCAGAAGCGAAGAAGACAGTGATGGCGAGGAGGAGAGCGAAGAAGAAACCGAAGAAGACAACTGGGTCCTTGGCGATCGTATCCCGCGAAGGCTTGACTTCACAGCTGATCGAGGGTTGAATGTGGAGCTTCCTGACAATCCATCATTCTCTGACTACTTTCATCTCCTCTTTCCTGAAAACCTATTTGATGAGATTGCATCCCAAACAAATAAATATGCAAGGGAAACAATCGCATCTTTACAGCGAAGAGATCGTTTACCTCAGCACTCGAGGTTTAGAAATTGGCCTGAGGATGGTGTGACATCTGGTGAGATGAAAGCTTTTCTTGCCATGATAACTGCAATGGGCCTGGTGAATCAAGAGAATATCCAGGATTACTGGTCCACCGACGAGGTTTTATCTACTCCCTTTTTCCCTCAAATTATGTCAAGAGACAAATTCATGAACATTTTAACATTTTTTCACTTGTGCAATAATGATAATTATATTCCTCGAGGACAGGAAGGGTATAACCCAGTAAACAAGCTCGGCACTATATACAGTGTTGTCACTGGGAATTTTTCAGATGTCTGGAAGCCAGGCAAAAATATTTGCATAGATGAGGGAATGATTCCATTCAGAGGAAAAGTGCACTTCAAAGGGTACAATCCAGACAAGCCAGACAAGTATGGTGTAAAGTCATACCAGTTGTGTGACTCAAGTAATGGCTATTGTCGTAGGTTTGAAATTTACACTGGTGTAAACCAAGAACCACCCAGTGCTAAAGGCAAAACATATGACTTAGTCATGAGGCTCATGCAACCTTATTTGAATGTGGGTAGGTGTTTGTATGTTGACAACTACTATACATCACCTACTTTATTTGCTGAGCTCTATAGGCAGAACACTGGGGCCTGTGGAACAGCCCGCTACAGGAAAGGTATTCCCCAGGAATTTAAAAGGGCACAAGTGAAAAAAAAAGGTGACAAGTTTGTTATGAACAATGGAACTTTGCTGGCTGTTAAATTTAAGGACCGCAGAGTTTTCCAGATGCTGTCATCTGTTCACTCCATTGCAGATGTAGAAGTTGGCCGAAATCACCCTGGAACTGGGCGCCCAATCAATAAACCCGAGATTGTACATGACTACAACAAGTTCATGGGGGCAGTTGACAGGTGTGATCAGATGGTGGCCTATTCCTGCTTCAGGCGACGCACCATGAAATGGTGGAAGAAAGTGTTCTTCCATCTGTTTTCCTTAAGCATCCTGAATGCTTATATCCTCTACAAACAAAGAACCCAGTCACCTGTGCTGCAAAGGACCTTTTGAAGGGAGCTTGTGAAGGAGCTTGTTAGGAATTCTGGCATCTCCCATTCTCTCACTCCAAGAGGCCGCCCAAGGAGGTCAGCTGAAGGCTTAACCCGCCTTCAAGTTGGAGGTCACTTCCCAGAGAAAATACTGGGTACTGGGAAGAAGTCCAACATCACCCGGGCATGTGTGGTTTGCTTTCCTGCCCAAAAGAAGATTCTGAAAAGGACAGGAGATAAAAGGAAGAGGCCAGGGAAGGAGTCTAGCTTTCAGTGCAGTGTCTGTAAAGTAGCACTCTGTATGCAAGACTGCTTCCGGTTGTACCACACTGTTGAGGACTATGTTGCTGCTTACATTCGAAGACATGATGCGAATAATGACAATGTGGATGCTGAAACCAATTGATTAACTGATCATAGCCATTATTCATTTTTTTTTTGGTTTTGTTTGGTTTTGAAGTCAATTCAAACACAGAAATAGATAAATTTAGACCAATTAGACCCATACAACTGAGCTGACTGTTTTGAACTAATTCAAAACCAAACAATGTAAATAAATTCCTAATTTGATTATGTGTTGACTAGACAAATATGCAATTTTGCTACTATTTTGAGAAAAAAAATGCTCTCACAGTCACAGGAATTGTTTTATCAAGTTGTTGGACTAGGGCTTAACTCTGGTTGCCATTTTAGGCTTGTACAGATAATTTTTGGAAGAAATTAATATGATGTGTTATTTGTTAATGTATAACTTTTGTCAAAAACATGATTTCATAGCTAAATTTTAAAAGCAACTTAGGTTCAAAATTTATTATAATAGAATAATCAGAAAGGAAATTTATTAAGCTTTAATTTGATATATAGGTTGTTGGGATTTGATGAAAAGTAAAGCTTTCAATGCTGTTGAAAGGATCAACTGTTGTGCATGAGTGCGTTTCTAAAAATAAAGTCAGTTTAAGGGATTGTAAACTGAACTCAAAGTCAGCATGCTAGTTTAACTAAGGAGTTTTCAACTGCATTGGTTTACGGCCAGGCAGGCAAAGTGAGGCTTGACTTGAAATGAAGTGCCTTAAACTAGATTTCAGATTTCCGTATGTATTTAAACTATTGCTTAAGTTGTTAAGTTACACTGAAAGTTTTATGCTAATTCAAATGACTCTGTATCTTCAACACAAAACCAATCTCTGGCAGAGGTAGGTGGTAAATATTTTATAGCCGAGTACTCACTGCCTAATAAAAGAGCTGCAACTACTGCTAGCAAAGTTCTTTTGACTGTACGACTACCAGGCTTGCGCATATGAAGTTTTAAGCCAAGGATACATTTATTACATTTTAAACTCCAAATAATACATTTTCTAGTGTTCTGAGTGGTTCATTCAGCTCCGGTTATCAGCTCATATTCCGAGTTACCCTATATGGAAATGCATGGCACCGAAAAAAAGGCTCCAAATATCCAAACGTTCAGGATTTTATGAAAATTAATAAAAAAAACTATTCTATTCGCGTTTGTTGGATATGAGATTAGTCATAGCTAACTCGGCGCTAGATGCCTCTTTGGCTATTTACCATCCCACATCTAACGTGCGCTCATGGAATGATTGTTAAATATTATGTATTTTACTCATGTAATATGAATATTTTACCCGATCAGAAAACCGTAGCCTGCTTAGTCAGGCTCCTAAAGGAGGCAGGGGTAGACAGGGGGAGACACGGGTGGATGGGATAAATGTAAGACTCAATTTTCTTTAGCCCTCTTCCCATGTGATCCCCGAGAATCCTAGGAGATTAATAATGAGCTGTTCAGTAAATGGTTTGAACCCGGGGTAACATGTAACAGAGTAGTTTGATTAACCGGACGATCAAACCACACTATAAATGAGCGGCTCCCTAGAAACATTCCCGCCATATTTTACGGAGCGCGGAGCCTGGAATCTATTCTGAGATTCAAAATGGCGGATGAAGACGAGGTAGAGGTGCGAGGAATAAAAAGACCTCTTGTCGAAAACTACAGCGACGATGAAGAAGAAGAAGAAGCTCGAAGAAAACAAGGTACAGCTAGTAGACCCGGCAGGATAAGTACACTCGAAATGATGCGAAGAGAAAAATTGTTGAAGATTTGATTGTGATCCTCGTGTTTTTCACTCATTCCACCGATTACTGATCATGACAACTACAATCCTCTTCATAATTATTGAAACATTCCCTTCTTTCTTCGTTTAAGTTGTTTACGGTAAAGGTAAAATTTCCGCACAGCCTCATACTACATTATGCATTCAGTTCTTGGATAGAGAAAACAATGACAAAAACAATACATTGCCATTAGGAAAACAGATTTGTTTTACAATAGTATGGGGCTGTGAGGAAATTTACCCCCTTTCTCACTTCTTTTCTGAAAATTTATCTGGCTTATCCACATAATAAGTTCCTGATTAGTAGAGTAGCTTTTTATTTCAAATCCTTTGTGTTGAAAATACCCCTCTCACTCCAAAAACAAAACCAGTCGGATTCTATTCTCTATTTTCCAGAACACAGTGCTTATCAGAGTAGACATTGTCCTTATCTTGACACCATAGACAGGTACAGTGTAGCCAACTGTTGAATATTTTTTGATCATGTATGTAACAAACTACCACACAGTTAAGCAAACAAAATTTTGTGGGTTTTGATTTGTGTAGATTTTGCAGATTGACCTCAACCCATATAGAATCAGTTCTTGCAGGAACAAATATATGATTAAAAAAATTAAACAGCTGCAGTAGGGTGGTGGAAATAATAGGTTTTTTTTTTGTTTGACTTTGTTGTTGGGTCTGTTCTTTTTGGCCACAAGGTTCTAAATTTTTATAGATTCAGTGACATGATGTAGCCAGAGTGTGCTGTGATTCAGCAAGTAATCAAATATGTGAATGTTACATTTTCATCTGTGTTAACTTCTTGCTCCTTGATAGGAGAATTGCAAAATTAAGTTCCCAGCAACACAACAAACCTCCAATCTGCAAAAGAAAATCCAGCAAAATTTTTTGATTTATTGCTTCATTTACTTGTAGCAATGGCCTATTCAAGGAGTAAATCCCTGTATAATATTTCGTAGCTCCCTTAAGACTTCATTTTGTTGTGCTTTTTCTCAACCTTCTCTTTTTAACATGATTTTCTTTTAATGTCCACCATAACTGATCGTAACTCTCAGGTTGTGCATGCCAAACATACCCTAAAGAACCCATTTTTTTTTACAGGCATGTGCTCGACTTTGATTTTGAGAAGCTGTGTTCTGTGTCATTATCACACATAAATGTGTATGCTTGCTTGGTGTGCGGAAAGTATTTTCAAGGTGAGAATTGCTTTAGTCTATGTTTTTGTGTGACTGTTAGGGCATAGTAAAGTGTTTTTTTTTTTTTGGATTCCACAGGCCGTGGACGTCGCTCTCATGCTTACACACACAGTGTACAAGTTGATCATCATGTGTTTCTTAATCTTCATACGCTCAAGGTGAGACTGACAATAAACACTTTGTCTCATGATTACCAGTAATTTCCCCTTATCTGATTATTAATATTACCAATATTACCCTCTGATGCTACATATTTCCTTGTAAATTAGTGGAGAGAACTTTGTGTCACTGGTAGATTAAGATAACAACCTGTACCTGACAAGTTTGAGTATTTTCAATAACTGTTCCCTGGACAGTGTAGAAATGTCTTTGCAAATGATTTTATTATCCCAAAACACATGTTGTTAGAATGGGTGCAGGGTTGTGTCTTAACTCTTTCGGACATTTTGGCAAATCTATCTCATCAAATTTCCAGACACGAAAGACAATGGTTGTTCAAAGTGTGCATTTAAAGGCACCTTTTTTTGGATCTCAAAGTGTTTTGGAATCAAATGAAACTCAGAACTTGTACTCTAAACTACAGGTTTTTGACAAATAAGTGAATGTATTTTTATAAGCATTTTATAATTATGATTGAAGTAAAGAATAAAATTCTTTACTACTTCTTTCAGTTTTACTGTTTACCTGATAACTATGAAGTTATTGACTCTTCTTTAGATGATATAAAGGTGAGTTTAAATTTAACAATTGAAATAAGTTTTATGCCATCTGTCCGCAATTATTCACACAAGTTATTACTGATTAAATTACTCAACTTGAAGAGTCAAAAAATTGTTTGAACAAATGCAATTTCCTTACCAATTGTTTCCTTTTAAAGTATAATTAAATGTATATAAAATTATTCATAATTGAGTTGTTGTTATGTATTACTTTGTTTATTCAATATCAGTATTTTTTAAATTAAAATTGAAATTGTCACAGATATGACGTTTGATGGAAAAACGACTGAAGTTGTTTCTCATTCAACCATTTCAGATCATTTTAAACATAAATTGTGGCAACAATATTGTCAAATATGAAAAGAGTCTAAGATAGTTTATATGTTTCTTTTCAGTATGTTTTAAACCCAACGTTTACCAAAAATGATATTACACAGTTGGATAAATCAGCAAAGCTGTCCAGAGCTTTTGATGGCACAACCTATCTACCTGGTAAATATTAGCATTTTATTAAATTCTAGGAATAGTGTAGCACCCTTTTTTTTGGTTATTCTGGTTTTTTAAAAGCATGTTATCATGTAATTATGCCATGCTAGTGGGATTACTTTGATCTGTCTCATTT